ATAGCAACACAGAATGGAAAGAAAAATTAGGGGGCCACATCAGTCCGTCAAAATGTTTAATCGGTGTCAAAAACGCTTTTTATATTCAAAATTAAGGGGGAGGGCGCATGGGTAATAACAGTCTTAAAATATTCATAGTAAAGGGTTTTAAAAAAAAATGTATGGACTAAAATCGACTAAAATAACGTTGTTTTTTTAGAGGCGTTTTCAGTTCTCTTCTTCAAATCTCATTATTTAGCACTATGTGTATATTGGACGATGCTAAGTTAAAAACAAATATCTGACTCAGAAGTTTACAAAGAAATATCGAAAATTAAATATAAATGTTTGGCAACTTAAACGCTAAAATTTCGATAACACTGATATAAATTGTATCAATTCAATTAAATTTTTCTATAGTAAAAAAAATTAAAGAAAAAAGAAAAACAAGTTTTTAATTACCCAAACATTGGTTGGACATAGCAACTGAGTTTTCTGTGTTTTTATATTCTTTAAGGTTCAGTATATTCTAACTCTTACCATTGCCTGAAGTACCGGCAGTGTTTTCTTGGTTTTCTGTTCCAGATTCTGAAAAATAAAACAATTTAAAATACATTTAAATATACCAAGTAAATATAGTTGCAGTCATACCCCTAAACGTTGCACACAAGATCAAACTTCACAAAAGTCGCACTTAGAGTTTCTTTCAGGAGACCCTAATGCAGAGCCCCACCCCCCCCCCCCCCCACGTCAATGTCACGACTACCGTTCCATACTTCAAAATAGAATTTATACAGAAAAATACTTTTACCAGTTTCCGCCACCCTTCCCCACAAAAAATTAAGTCAACCCCACCCCTCGAAATTTTATTTATACTTGTTTTTCTTTTTATGTAAATTATTTTCGGATTGTGCTTAAATCTAGTATATGTTGCGTTTCATATAGTTGATTTTCTATTCGTTAAAACTAAGGTCAATATAAGCTCCTTTTAAAGTTCTACGTTTTATGGTAAATTAATTTTGGTTTCGATCTAAAACTAGTTTATCAGAATAAGTTGCATTTCGTTTTAACAAATTCCTTTATATATATATATATATATATATATATATATATATATATATATATATATAGAATATAGATAATTTTCAAAGATGACATTCTTAATTTTTAAAATTTCTTAATTCACAGAGAATATACTTAACTACTTGTGATTGCAAATTTACAAAATTATGTTGTTTTTTTACCCGAACATTCGTTGGACATAGTAATTGAGCCATCTTTTTTAAAAATTATTTTAATGTTTTGTAGATTCAAAATATTACCAATATCTGAAGTACCGGCAGTGTTCTCTTGGCTTTCTGTTGCAGATTATAATAAAGAAAAAACATATCAAAATAAAAGTATTTAGAAATTGATGTGATCTAAATCATTTTCATAGGGGTATTTCGTTTTAGATTTTTATGATGTAATAGAGGGTGAATGATCGATAAAAACGTAAGGTTCTGTAGAGTGAAGCTATTACCAATATCTGAAGTACCGTCAGTGTGTTCTTCCCTTTCGGTACCAGATTCTGTTAAATATAACAACACAAAATACAAATAAAAAACCAATGTATTTAGAAAATTATTTAAACGTTGATCTTAATTATTTGGGTTGTGTTACTTTGTTTGAGATATTTAAGATGTAATAGAAATAGTTAGAGAGATAAAAGGTAGAAAGTAAACAGCAAGACAATAAAGGGTGGAAGTGGCATGATGCCTAATACCGCCATGTCGTGTGCCCAGGCCGTTTTAAAAAGCCCATAATCCGATGATAAAAAACATGATATTTTCAAATATCAGAATACATTTTCATACACCTTGATAGTTGTTTTGTAAATAATAAATAAATCTACTACATCGGTGTAAGTCAACCACACTGTTACGTGTGTTTTTGCACTTTGAAACAGTCGAATAGAGGGACTTAAAATTACTTTCATAACCAAATGTCTTAAAGCCCTTAGATTAAAAAAAATGATTGTGTTGGGGGTGAGGGTGGGTGAGAGGCAGGCTGGATTAGGATCCTACTAATAATTTAATGTAATAATGAACTAAAACGGAGAAAATAAATGATTGTCTTTAAATATATTACAATACTTAACAATAAAGAAAGCGAGGTAGCCTCCTAATTTTTAGCAAAAGGATTCAACACATATTCTAGCAACCAACGCAAGGTAGCTTTTACTCTATCATCTCTTCCAGCTAGGTAAATACCTTCTTCTTCTACTTCGTTCTTAATTATTAGTAAATACCAATTGGTGAAAATATATTTGATTTAAGCCATCACAAGAAAATGTTATTTTAAAATTCAATTATATCCTCATTTGGTCAATTCCGTTGAAAAAAATACATACAAGTATTTACAAAATGTAAAATATTAAATGCCTGAAATAGTTACATTAAAAAAAAACTAAATTATTCATTGTGTGTTAAGATTTGCTTTGATTCTAGATATAGAATCTAGATAGACTCCCTAGCTTACTTAATCACGGATAGACGAAAAATGGCTGTCTAGGTTATTTTTTGCTCGAGATAAATTCATTGTCTTCTTGAAGTAGAAGATCTGTGAAGCTAAACAGCAAAGATTTCTATCAAACAACTAATGACTAAAATATTTTAATAAAAAATTCAATTATTAATGGGTTTCATACTTGTTTATCTTTGAAGCTAAAGGGCCTATCTATAGAAAAATGTCTTAAAGAACTTAGATAAATAAAACGGTGAGGGAGGAACTTAGGCTCCGAATAATAATCTTATCTAGTTTATCGTTATAAAAAGTGCTTCATACGGATACATTCCTATTCGTTTAAAATGACGTCATTATAAGTCCCCGTGAAAGATGTTTGTCTTTGTGAAAATTCAGTATTTGCTCTTAACTTATATAATAAAAGAGTAATTCAACAAACAAATGTATGAGTAAATTTATAATCGTCTTTAAAAAAATATGTGTATAACATTAGGGGAAAAACGAACAATTTTCTCTTCATAAATACGTATTTTTTCAGTTCTACTCATAGTGCAGTTGCTCTCATCTAACTTAAAAGACAAATAAAAAGAGCTACCAAAAAAATGTACAACATGTAAACGATTGGAGTTTTAGTAATATATATTTAAATGAAAGTAATGAAGAAACAAATTACACTTCTCGTGATTACAAATTTAGAATTGTTTTTTCAAGAACATATGTTAAACGTAGCATTTGAGCTATCTGTGCTTTTATATTCTTTAAGGGCATAAGCTTAGGCTGTTTCTCTTTTATACAATTTAATATATAAAGACTTCTGCTTAATTTTATTAGATTTGGCACACGAGAGTAAGTATTAAACAGCAAACAAAAATTATTAAAAACTATTTTGGTTCTCACGGAAACCCTAAAAAACCTTCGCCATTTTGATTTTTTTTCGTTACTTTTAAAAAACCCACTAATCCTTTTTATTCATGCATTTATAGCATTAAAATTAATTTAGTATATATATAAAAACTTTGGTTACGACAAAATTATGAAAGAGCTTCTGGTCCATAATTTTACAATGTCTAAAAAATTGTACCCTTTACAATATGCAAAAGTCTCAATTATACATATTATATACTATTAACTTTTTTGTTCTAAGAAAATACCATATCTGTGTTATTTGTAAAGCCGATTGTAAGCGTTGGGTGTTTCCGATCTGATTGAAAATCCGATTATCATATATTAGAAAACTTGCTTAAATGATAACAATTACAACACGTTGGCAGAAATTAAAAAGTTTAGTAGATAGCTTGCAAGTTAGGAATTTTTTTTTAATTCAAACATTTTTTTACTCATTAAAGTTATTATTTTCTTAATAAGAAAATTGACAATTATCCAATAATACAAGAAATACATAGGGAAGAAAAATCAAGATTTTGGTGATTTTGTAATTAAAATATTCAAGTAAAGTTCTTTAGAGTCAAACTATTACCAACGCCTGAAGTACTGTCAGTGAATTCTTGGTTTTCTGTTCCAGATTCTGATAAATATAATAAATCAAAATACAATCGAAATACAAAGTATCTAGGGAAGTATTTAAAATTTGATCTTAATTATTGGAATTGTGGTACTTTGTTTGAGATATTTAAGATGTTATAGAGATAGAAAGTGGTAAAAAGGGAAAAAATGAATAGCAAGACTCGCAAGGGTGGAAGTAGAATGATGCCTGATGCTGCAATGTCGCATGCCCTGGTCGTTTATAGAGCACATAATCCGATGCTAAAAAAACTGATATTTTTGAGTGCCAGAATACCTTTTTTGCACCTTGATAGTCGTGATATAAATAAGAAATAAATCTACTACATTGGTGTTGCGTAGACATATTTAAAAAAAACGTTGATTTTACTTGAAAATACTGAGAAATGTTGTCACTAGTTCAATGAGTTATTGCGTTTTAAAACAGTCGAAAAAAGGGCCTATCTATAGAAAAATGTCTTAAAGAACTTAGATAAATAAAACGGTGAGGGAGGAACTTAGGCTCCGAATAATAATCTTATGTAATGATGCAAAAAAAGAAGAAAATAAATTATTTGCTTGAAATAAACAATACTCTACCAATTAAATAACTACAAAAGAAAAGCGTGAGTGGATTTAATACATATTATAGCGACTCACGCATGATAACTATAACACTATCACTTCGGCAAGCTGGGTACATACCAATAGGTGAAAATATATTGCGTTATTTTACTTTAGACAGCGCAAGAACGTAAAATTAAGCGAATGCCGTTTTAAATTAAATTATATCCTTATTTGGACAATTTTATAAAGTTTTTATTCTTAACTTTTATAATTATATGGGTTTTTTTTTGCAAATGAAGATATCAATAAATAAATAATGCTTTAAACAAAATTCTGTTGCATTTGGGGCAAAAAGAAATTTTCAACAAAAATACGTATGTTATAGTTCTTGATACTAGGACAGACAATCAAACAAAAACAATAAACGAAAAATAAATAAATAAACTTGTTCAACTTTTACCAATGTCTGAAGTACTGTCAGTGTGTTCTTGGCTTTCTGTTCCAGATTCTGTTAGATATAATAACATAAAATACAAATCAAAATACAAAGAATATAAAAAATCATGTGAACTTTGATCTTAATTATTTGGATTGTGGTACTTCGTTTAAGATATTTAATATGTAATAAAAATGGTAAGAGAGATAAGAAGGAAAAATATTAATAGCAAGAAATTGAATAGTTAAAGTGGCATGATGCCTGACGCTGCAATGTCGGGTGCTCTCACGGTTTAGGAATCTCATAAATAGACGATTAAAAAAACATGCTTTTTGGGAATGCCAGAACACTTTTATACACCAAAAAAAAAACTTATGGGAGGGCAAGTAATGCTTAGGCTCCTACTAAATTAAATGTAATAATGCACTAAACAGGGGAGAAAATAAATCATTTGCTTCAAACATTTTTCAAAACGCGACAATTGAAATAACTATAAATAAAAGCGAGTGTGGCTTCGTAAATATTATTAAAAGTATCCAATACCTATTAAAGCGATCTACGCGTGATAACTATAACACTATCTTCGAGGCCATCTGGGTACATACCAATAGGTGAAAATATAAATCCGTTGCATAAAAAACAAAAAAATATATATTTTAAAATAATATAAAAAATATTTAATATTTCATAAAAACAAAAATTTTAATTGTGTGTTATTAATTGGCCGACATTCTAGATCTAGAATATAGACAGATTCTTCATCCTACTTGTTTACGGATAGACCAAAAATAGCCTAAGTCTAGTTTATTCGCAGCTCTAAATAATTTTTTTCTTTTTTTTTTTGAATCTGATGATCTCTGAAGCTAAAAATCAAATATGTATCTATATATATAATTCTCTTCTGGGAGCCGTTAGAAAACAAGCTGCAAGCCCGCGCCTTGCAGTCCCCTCTTTTCCTCTTTATCGCTACCACCCCCACCCCCACCCCACCCCCCCCCCCCCCCCCTCACATGGACAGGTGAGTTGTAGTTCAAGCTAAATGTTTAGTTGGTGACGGCTATTAGGGGCAGATAATTCAGTTTGAAACTATTTTAAACTTAGAAGGTAACTAAGAGGAGGCTGCTTTCACGGGGGGGGGGGGGGGGGGGGGGGTTAGTGTTTTAAAGCAAATATTTTCAGTGGCAGCATTGGTACAGTCGAATTCACAAATTATGAATTAATGAAAAGTAGAAAAAAAACAACTAAATAGCGGCGTATGATACACCGCGGGTCGGCTCGTATCAAATAATTAAGAAAAGAAATAGTTAAATGACAAAACTCAATTGTTTATTGCGTTTTTGCAATTGTTTTTCTTTTTAACTAAATAATTTTGGACTGGCCTTGAATCGACTTTATCGCTGCAACTTGTGTTCTATAGCGATAAATTCCTACTCGTTTAAAGTGACGACACAATAAGTCTATGGAAAAGTTTTTAATTTTTGTCATTTGTTTTGAACATTTGTAATATGCTGACGTCACAGGTAAACTTTATAGCTACCCAACTCTATGTCACCCGCCCAGTGTCCCGCCAGGTCTCAGACATGTTTTATCGTTTAAAAAAAAAAAAAATTCTGCCGAGCATGGCTCTGACCACACTATCCACGTTATATGCTGAGGACAAAGAAACAGGGGAACTCTACTTCACCTGCCCTGTATCCCGCCAGGTTATGATAGGCAACTTTATCATTTTCATCTAAAAAAATTGAAAATAGGCACGGAAGCCTATCTAAGCTCATGACGTTTTTTTGTGCTCTATATTAATAGTTTGAATCTGCTTAAGAAACTTGATTTAAACACGAATAGGCCCTAAATCTAGTAATTAAATGTTATCTTAAATGAGCCAATTTCATAGCTAAACAAGTAAAGATTTATATAAAATAACGAAGGTCTGAAATAATTTAGTGTAGAAACTCATTATTATCTACATCTAGATAGAGTTATCTAGATTCTACGACTGGTTTGGTTAAGTCAATTATTTGCCGCAACTCTAGCTAGATCTAGAGCCCCGATAAATAAAACACTTGTGTTCTTGAATTAGATGATCCGTGAAGCTAAAAAGCAAAGATTTATATCAAATATTTAAGGACTAAAATAGTTTAATAAAGAAACTCAAAAAAATAATTCTGATTTTATAATGAATTTTTATTTTTAACTAACTAAATTTGGTTTGGCCTAGATTCTAAATCTATATCTATAAATAATTTCGTTCGACAGCTGATCTTTAGATTCTAGATCTAGAGAAATTTATTGTATACTTAAATGAGAAGGACTGGTGAAAATTGATATAAGTGTTGTAACGTAATAAAAATAGCAAACGGACGTATCGTTAAAGCTATAGCAACAGAAAATTAGCTTTAGAACGCGTTAAACGTTTGAATGGGCACTAAAATCTTCGATGGAAGCCGCCATTATTGTTGTAAAAAGTAAATAAATCATGTGGCGTCAATATAAGTAAAAAAATCATTGTTCAGAAATGTTATAATTAATGTGGTTAATCTACCAATGCATATATCAATACATTAATTACCGTCTTTAAATTAATTTGTGATTAACAGTCTGTTTAAAAACAAAAATTGTTCTCTAATTACGCATTGTACAACTCTACACATAGTGCAGATTCTCTCCTGTAACCAAACGGACAAACAAAAGAAACATCAAACATGTAACACACTTGAGTTTTAGTAGTATATAAATTGATAATTTACATAAAAAAATAATTTACTCTTTTTCATAGAATAATCCACACTTTTCGCGATTGCAAAATTAAGAAAATATTTTTTTTTACCTGAACATTCGTTGGATATAGTAATTGAGCAATCTGTCTTTTTAGTCTGTTTACGATTCTGTAGATTCAAACTATTACCAATGTCTGAAGTACCAGCAGTGTTTTCTTGGTTTTCTATTCCAGATTCTGATAAATAAAACAGTACACAATGCAAATCAAAATACAAAGTACTTTGAAATTTATGTGAACTTTGATCTAAATCATTTTCATAGGGGTGTTTTGTTTGAGATATTCAAGATGTAATAGTAGGTGAATGATGGATAAGAAAAGGCAGAGAATGAATAGCAAGATACGCAAGTATGGAAGTAGCATGATGCCTGATGCGGCAAGGTCTATTGTCCATGCCGTTTAGGAAGCCACAAATGTAATAATTAAAAAACCCATGAAATTTGTAATACACCTAGAGAGTTGTTTTGTAAATAATAAATAAATCTATTACATCGGTGTAAGTCAACCACACTGTTGCGTAGACATAATAAAAAACTAATTGATTTTACTGTTAAAGATAGAGAAATGTTAAAACTAGTTCAAGGAGTTTTTGTACTTTGAAACAGACGAATAGAGGGCCTTCGACACTTACTTCAATATCCAAATGTCTTAAAGACCTTATATGAATAAAATGGTGGGGTTGGGGCGGGGGAGGGGGATTAGGCTCCTAGTAATAATTTTATGTAATAATGCGCTCAAGAGTAGAAAATAATTGGTTGTCTTTAAATATATTACAATACTTAACTATTTAAATAACAATAAAAAATCAACGTGGCTTCTTAATTTTTTAGTAAAAATACAATACATATTATAGCGACCCGCGCATGGAAGCTTTTACACAATCATCTCTTCCAGCTGGGTACATACCAATATGTGAAAATATGTTTCGTTATTTTACTTTAGACAGCGCAAGAACGTAAAACTACGCGAATGTCGTTTTAAATTAAATTATATTCTCATTTGGCCAATTATTTCATTGCTAAAAAACAAAAGATCCATTTTAAATAATATATAAAATATTTAAGGCCTGAAATAGTTTAATAAAAAACAATATTATTTATTATGTGTTAAGATTGGTCTAGATTCTAGATCTAGAATCTAGATAGATTCTCTAGCCTACTTGTTCACGGACATACGAAAAATGGCTTAAGGGGTAATCCATAAATGACGTCACACTATTAGGGGGGAGGGGGGTCCGTAATTTTGTGACGATGTGTGATGAGGGGGAGGGGGGTTCCAGATGTTGCGACGTCACATTTTTGCATTATAAAAATGCAATGTTAGAAAACGAATTTTAGACGTTATTTCGCGTTCTAGATAACTGTTTTAATAAATTGTAATAGTTTAGACAAGATTTTGGAAAAATATCGATGTTTAAATAAAATTCAACTGCAATTTTGAGGGGGGTTGTAGGTTGCGGTGTGACGTCATTTTAGGGGGGGGGGGGTCTGGCTTTTTGTGACGACGTGTGACGGAGGGGAGGGGGAGGAGGTAAAAATCGTCAAAAAAGCGTGACGTCATTTATGGATGACCCCTAAATCTATTTTTCGTTTTATTTACGTAATTTTAGATTGGAATACAACCTAGTTTATCAGTATAAGTTTCTTTTTGTTTCGATAAGTTTCTATTAGTTTCAAGTGATGTCATTATAAGTCTATGTGAACATTTAAAAAAAATAAAGTACTTATTCTTAACTTTTATAATTATATTGGTATTTTTGCAAATGAAGATATCAATAAATAAATAATTATCTTTAAACGAAATTGTGTTGAAGTTGGGGCAAAAAGAAATTATTTTCTACAAAAAATACCTATGTTATAGGTCTTAACCCAATTGTGGTAGCTCATATCTAACAGGACAGACAATCGAACAAAAACAATAAACGAAAAATAAATAAATAAACCTGTTAACAGCTTGAAGTTTAGTAGTAAATAGATAATTTACATTAAAAAGATTTAAGTTATTATTTTCAGAATTTATATAGAATAATCCACATTACTCGGAATTGCAAATTTACGAATATATTTTTTTTTACCCGAGCGTTCGTTGGATATAATAATTAATGTATTTTTAAAGATGTGTAAAGTTAAACTTTTACCAATGTCTGAAGTACTGTCAGTGTGTTCTTGGCTTTCTGTTCCAGATTCTGTTAGATATAATAACACAACAAAAGAATCTAAAAAATTATGTGAACATTGTCTATTTTACTGTAAAACATAGAGAAATGTTAAAACTAGTTCAAGGAGTTATTGCTCTTTAAAACAGTCGAATTGACGCTCATAACACTAACTTTAATATCCAAATGTATTAAAGCCATGCCATGAATAAACCTATTGGAGGGAGGAGGCGGGAAGGGTTTAGGCTCCTATTAATAATTTTGTGTAATAATGCACTAAATAGTGGAGAAAATAAATGATTGTCTTTAAATGTATTACAATACTCAACTATTTACATAACTATAAAGAAAAGCGTGGGTGGCTTGATAAATATTAGTAAATGTATCTTTTACATATTAAATGATCCACGCAATTTACTGTTACACTTTCATCTCTTACAGCTGAATACATACCAGTAGGTGTAAATATATTAAGTTATTTTATTTTAGCCAACGCATTATTTGGGCCAATTCCATTGCTTAAAAAAACAAAGAACAGTTTACAATAATACATATAATATTTAAGGCCTAAAATAGTTTCATAAAAACAAATTTATCCATTATATGTTTAGATTGGCGTAGATTCTAGATCTAGAATCTAAATAGATTCTGTTCCCGACTTTTCCGCGGGAAGTCAAAAATGGCTAAGGTTAGGGCTTCTAGTAAAAATTGAATAATACTCACATAATACACTTAAATATCCTAATAGGGGTGGGGGATAAAAGTCCTATACATATCTTATTAGGTTTCGCATACCACTCCCTCAAATAGCCTGATAGAGAGCCCATAATGCTGCTTTAATTAGAGGAAAATTGGATCGGTATTCTCAAAATATTAGTTGAATAGGAGACATACAACACTTTTGATATTCAAAAATGGTGGTTGGAGGGGGGGGGGGGGGCTTATATCTCCTGAAATGGTCGTTGTGAGGAAATTGATACATTTATTATTTACATAAAAAGAACAGGGTTGTTGAGGATTTTGAGGTCTCTACCTTTAAACTTAATTTTGAGTGATGTGTTTCCATTTCACAATGCTAAGCTGTAAAAATATCTAACTGTGAAGTCTACGAGGAAATATTGAAAAATGAGTATGAAAGTTTAAGGACAAATGCCCTAAAATATCTATTTCAATGATATTATGTCTATTAAGTCCTCTAAAGAATTGTATAGTATAAATAATATGAATCAAAAGTCTAAATAAAATAAAAATGTTTTGCTACTTTATATTTTTAGTGTTTTGACAATTTTAAATTTTGGTTTCAAGATTTCAAGATTTGTAAAATTTGGGGATTGTATTTATTATATGATTGTACTAAGAACATCACAAAAAAACAAATGTTTCTCTATATTATAATTAAATTAAATTATACAAAACAATAATATTTCTATAACATATATTTAAATTATATTACAAAAAACAAAACAATGTGATAAAACGATCAAAGTAAGCCCATACGCATGTGAAGCTTCTGTATTTATATTATTTTGAATGGCATGTTAGATTTGCATTTTAAATCATTTTAAAAAATCGATTATGTTTGGCGCTTAATAAGTTTGGTGGGCCTTACTTATTGTGATTTGATATCTCGTTATGGAGACCCATTGTATTGAAATTTGCTCAAATTTCTAAATTAGGAAAACAATTAATTTTAAATGTATTGAGAAAGGTACAATGTATGTAAAATATATATATATATATATATATATATATATATATATATATATATATATATATACACACACACACATATATATATATATATATATATATATATATATATATATATATATATATATATATATATATATATATATATATATATATATATATATATATATATACGTTTTTTAATACACTTACCTTTAATCTTTATAAAAAATATAAGGTATTTTTTTTTCTCTTGTCTGTTTGTAAACACCATATCATTACATGCGACCTTATAATCTATCAAGCACCTTCTTAATTTTGAATTTGTCTTCTCGCACATACCATACAAGTAGATGGCTACAACTAGTGAAATGCTAATTACGATATCAGCTTTTTCAAATTCAAAAAACGCGAACGCTATAAACGTAAACATTATTTTGACATAACACAAAATTGAAAAGTAGAAAACTACAAAGTTATAAATCAAAAAGAGAGATTCAATTATCTTGAAGATAACGACTTCAGACTTAATATTTATGAGTCTATGAAATGAATAGTCTACGTTTTGTTTACAGCAAAATACTACACATATGAAGAAGTTTATTACAGAAATTATCAAACATACAACAGCCCAATTATAATTGTTTGCATTAAAAGTTTCCGCACATAGCACTAAAAAAGGAAGATTTAACAGAAGGCTTTCAAATATTAGTGTTAAGATTGATGGTGTGTTGAGGTCGGGATAGAAGATTGTTTTCCACAATGGTTTCTGTTTCATCTGAAAATTTAAAATTTTATACAATTTACAATTATGTATTTGAAAAGAATATTGTGAAACATGCGATAATAGCAATTTAACAAAATTTTTGGTGAGGGTGGAGATAGTTGGCCACGGTGAATAAGGCGGCATGTGGTCATCAGTATGCTCAGTGGTGCTAGAGGTTAGCTTAACATCTTTTACACCATTGTTTATACTTATATATATATATATGTATATATATATATATATTTATATATATATATATACATATATATATATATATATATATATATATATATATATATATATATATATATATATATATACGTGTATATATATATATATATATATACGTGTATATATATATATATATATATATATATATATATATATATATATATATATATATATGTATATATATATATATACATATATATATATATATATATATATATATATATATATATATATATATATATATATATATATATATATATATATATATATATATATATATATATACTTATATTTATATGTGAACGTACCTTGTGGATGTAATAACCGAACAATGGCCATGTCGAATTTTTTATTTTCATAAGCTGGGTTTTTCTTACGTTTTTCGTTCCGAGTGCACTTGTTTGAGCTTTTTGTTTTAGCTTCTTCAGCCTGTTAAAAATGTTGTTTTAAAGAAATTGTTTTTTTTTTCATTTCGACTAGTAACTTTAACTGAGTAGATTTTTACAAAGGCAAACTTACTCATTTATTACTGTATCAGCTTCTTTAAAAAACTCAAACCTGACTGATCTGTCAAATAAGTCAATTAAATTCAAGCATGAGCTATTTGTATTCTAAAATTTTGTTAAATATTTAATGAAAATTGAAAACAGTATCCATTTAAATGCAACGTATCTCCTCTAAACTTTCTCAAATATTCTTATATATCATTACGGGAGATGACCATTCGGGATTTAGACTTTATATTATATCCATATTTAATTACTTACATTTTTAAAATAAACCGGGAGTGATCTCCCCAATACTTTCTCGAATTTTCTTATATACAACATCAGGGGATGGCAACTACTTAAGCTTTTTAAAAACACACACACACACACACACAAACACACACACACAGAGAGAGAGAGAGAGAGAGAGAGGCAACATACGGACAAGATTGCAAGACTATGTTTTTCCGACTCATGGAGTTGTAAAACGTCGAGATTCGCTCAAATATCGATTTATTTATTTTTTGCACGATTACAAGACTTTCTCTATAGGCCTACTTCGTATATACGAGAAAGTAAAATCGTAGAAAAAAAAATTGCGCACAAAGTCGACTGCAAACAATGTATGTATAATAGTGCGGAACATTAGTGCTTTATAATTTCGTTAGCCGGTCGTTTTCCCGAACTCACTTGCTCGAATGAAACAAGTGCCCGAAAGCAACTTGCCCGAAAAATGTGAACATTAGAAATTACTAAATAGACATTCTTAATCAATTTAAATTTTTAAATTTTAATAATCAATACATATCTCAGCAAAACGAAAGGAAGAAGCAATAGTATATATCACCAAGCACACATTATTATTTAATTTGCATTTGCTAAATAAAAAGTTTACATATTTTTCTCTACCTATTAAACAAGACAAAAATACCGTTTTCGTTTATCTCAGATTGATATATAAAACGAGTAGCTATTTAGTTTTTGTTTTTTCTACTTTTGAGTAATTCATAATTTGTGAATTCGATAGTACCAACGCTGCCACTGAAAATATTTCTTTAAAACACTATAAGTAGCACGTTAAGGACGATAACCCCCCTCCTTCTCCCCCCCCCCCCCCGTCCGTTAAAGTAAACTCCATTTAGTTACCCCCCCCCCCTACATTTAAAATCGTTTCAAACTAAATTATCTGCCCCTAATAGTCGTCACTAAACCCGGCTCTGCTTGTAAACATTTAGCGTGAACCACAGCTCACCAGACCATGTAGGGGTGGGGGTGGTATGGAGCGCGCTTACAGCTTGTTTTCTAGCGTCTCCCAGAAGAGAATTATATATATATAGATGATTCTCACTTTCCTTTGACAGAAAATAGAGAATTAGATCTATATATATATATATATATATATATATATATATATATATATATAAGTAGTATATTAGGTCGCTTTTGGACCGCATTTTTGGCGGAGCAGGGGATGGGGAGGAGCAATGACATATAGCAAAATACTCGGGAGCAGGATGTGGGGGTGGCGCAAAGACATATAGTAAAATACTACGCCAGCTGCCGCAGCCTGGCGCATCGGGATGGGGAGCAGGATGTGGGGGTGGCGCAAAGACATATAGTAAAATACTACGCCAACTGGGGTTGGCGGAGCAGTGAAGGGTGAGTCACCTTTTGGTGACCTTGTGACGTAATCATTGACCTTGTGACGTAATCATTGACCTAGTTACGTAATTTTAATGCGTTTTTTAATGAGTTTTAATGAGTTTTTTAAATTTTAATTAATTTTTATTATCGAGTTACGTAATTTTAATGCGTTTTTAATTAGTTTGAATATATTTTTTAATTAATTTTTATAATTAGTTTGAATTTAATTACTTTGTTTATATTGTGTAATTTTTATTAACGAGTTACGTAATTTAATGCGTTTTTTAATTAGTTTGAATTTAATTTTTAAATTTTTAATTAATTTTATTAACGAGTTACGTAATTTAATGCGTTTTTTAATGAGTTTGAATTTAATTTTTAAATTTTAATTAATTTTTGACCTAGTTACGTAATTTAATTACTTTGATTGTATTTTTATTTTGTTTAATTTGTTTGTTTACTTGTTGTTTAATTTAATTACTTTGTTTATATTGTGTAATTTTTATTAACGAGTTACGTAATTTGATTATTTGTTTACTTTTTAATTATTTTTATTGACGAGTTACGTAATTTGATTATTTGTTTACTTTTTAATTATTTTTATTGACGAGTTACGTAATTTGATTATTTGTTTACTTTTTAATTATTTTTATTTTGTTTATTTTTAATTTTATTTTATTTTATAATTAGTTAAATTATTATTAACTAGTTACGTAATTTGATTTTAATTACGTTTGTTTATTTATTTATTTGATATATTTCTTTTCTTTGTTGTTTAATGTTGTTTATTTATTTGAATGTATGTATGTTTTAAATAAAAGACTAACACTAGCGTGGACTTTGTATAGGGACCATTCACCAACACAACGAACGTTACAAAAATAGAACATCCATTAAATCACACCTGTTACGTATCGACCGCCCGCGAAGTTTTCTCGGCGCTGCCCGTTTTAATGGGAATGTATTGATCGCACCCACGGGACCATCGGGACAACGGGCGCGTTAATATTGATTCCACACACGGCCATCAAAGGATGGTCCGCCTAATTAATTTGGTCATGCATCGTGGGTTTATGTCGACTACAAACATCCATTAGAGACACCTGTTACTCGCTAATGGCACCCGACACGTATCGATCCACATGCGATCCTTTGTTCTTGTGAACCACCGTACAAGGGCCAAGTTAATATTGATCGAACCCACTGACCATCAGTATGATGGTCCACCTATGTGTAATTTTTATTAACGAGTTACGTAATTTGATTTTAATTTTTTTAAATTTTTAAATTTTTAATTTTATTTTATAATTAGTTTAATTATTATTAACGAGTTACGTAATTCGATTTTAATTTTTTAAATTTTTAAATTTTTTTTTTTTTTTTTTTTTTTTTTTTTTTAAATTATTATTTTTAAATTTTATTTTTAATTGTTGTTTACTTGTTGTTTAATTTAATTACTTTGTATAATTTATTTGTTTGAAATTCATTTTAATTAGTTTGCTTTTAATTTCTTTGTTGTACGCCGTTTAAAATAAAAGACTAACACTAGCGTGTACTAGAAAGTGTCATTGTGTATAACATCCATTTAACCACAGCTGTTACTTATTAGTGACAGCTTGTACTTATCGATCCGCCCGTGATCCTCCCCAGCGCTCCCCGTGGTTGCTTAATAGCGGGCTCACTGAAGCGATCACAACAGGTAATTAATCGAAGCCATTAAGTCCCTCTCCGCGTTAAGTGGGGCGACAGCTGGTGCTGTAATTAGTCACGGCTCTCGGCTTTTTTCATTAGACTACAGCTGTACATGAACTATGTTCACATATCGTACGCCCGGTCATTCTTTGATCAAATTAAAAAATTTTGTTTCCACATGTCCTGCGAACCGTCCCTTGCTATGTATGAAAGATTAATGGTTGTAACTATTCGCTTATAGCGAGGGTCAGCGAAAACAAAAATATATTTAAGGGTCGGAATTTTCTTTCAACCACCGTTAAGTCAGGTTTTGAGACGAAACGAAGTCTCGGTAGGTTCGTGTTTTTTAATGGGCGACAGGGCGACTTGGTGCGTTGGTACGTAGGTATGCGTGGGTAGACATGTTTTTTACAAGTCTGGAAAAGTAATTAAGTTTTTTATGACCGTTCCGATTTTCTTTTGATCTGACCACCATTTGACCACACTGAGCCAGATAAATTTAACAATTGTCGCAGCGGGGTTTATTTTAAGTGCACCCCGTGCACGCTTGTTTACATTTTAAAAGACGTGTCGCGTGTCTTCCCCTTACGGCTTCCCTAATAGAGAAACGAGAGGAAAGACAACTGTTCTAAAATTAGAACAGCCTTGTCTACAGACACGAGTATCCTCCCTTGTGAAAAAATTCGCGTCAGAATCCTTAACTAAACAGTCAATTTCTTTAAAAAGTTAAAAAATAATTTAGGAAGACAAGGGTTAACAAAATATATATCTTAGTCTTGCAGCAGATTACCTTCACATGTTCGCTTTAGTATTACAGTTTTCATCAATCTTCTTTTTGACTTGAACTTCTTTAATTTTTAAGAAAGTTTACTTATACATAATACATTACGTCTAATGACAATTTTTTATTTTTACCAATCAATGTATTTTCTTTTTCTATATCTTACATTGTCATCTTAATTTTTGATCACCTTAGGTGGTGGTAAGGTGGTAAGGTGGTGGTAAGGTTGTGGTAAGGTGGTGGTAAATTTGCTTAAGATTATAAACTTCAAGTTTTAAAAATCAACAACGTTATAGTACGTCGTGTCAAATGACACACCGTTAAAATGTCTACATTTAAATTTCACCAAAATAATGATGTATAAACTAAATATGATATGACGTTAGCATACATATCATTCAATCTAATCATTCTAAAGTACAAATCAATAATTTTTATTGATTAAGGGGCCGTGTTCATACTAGGGTCGGTGAAGTTTTCACCGAGGTTGGATTTGAACTCGGAACATGCATGTTTTGGAGTCGGTAGGTGTGGGCTGTAATTAGAGTGTCCAACCGTATAAATGACCGCGCAAATTGTGTTCTAATCACTTCGACTTCGGACTTCAAACCAACCATCACAGCGACTTATCCTACCTGAGACCTCTGTTGCGTCCTTAAAACTTTCCTGGACATACGAAACGCGACCGGGATACATTTGTTTTGCCAAATTTGTAATTTGTGAACCGTCTCTCGGGTTCTTGAACAACACTATGTAATGCGAATTGAGACTGATGGTTCTTTGTTCTTTATTTTTCCCGAATAGGTTTTGGACAATATACATGACACTAATATTACGATGGTGACTCCCTTTCGTAAACAATTTTGTAATTCGGTCATCTGTTTCCGCCATCAAATCATCGATGACGACTAGACGCCTACGTTTTTCATCCCCCATTGATCCACTTTCTAAGTCAGGAAGACCTTCCACAAACTGAACGTTCTTCATGGTATCAAACAAAGGCTGCCACTCCCCGTAACAGTAATAAATTTCCTCGGGTGCCGGATCCATCATCTCTGACACCTGGGATAAAAATGTTTTGACAAATACGGTTTTACCACTCCCGGTTGGCCCTGCGATCAGAGCGGTAAAGGGATGTTTCCATCTCGGATCCATCGTCTTAAATGATTGATTTTGATTCCAATCATACGAGTTAGTGTTGGTCGCCGTATACTCTGTTTGGATCGCTGATGGCGGTTGACCGGCTTGTCTGTCGACCGGTGATGGGGTGTCCCTCAGTATAGTTTGGTTGTTGTGTGCTGTCTTATAATGGGTTGTCAAATTGTCAAGTCGTGTAAATAGTTTCCCGCATGTTGTGCAGGGGTGTCTTTGTCGTCCGTGTACAGAGTCGTGATGTCTTGTCAAAGCGTCTTTGCGAGTGAATACTCGGTCGCATATGTCACACTTGTTACGGGACATGGCTGGGTGGGTGGTAGGTTGGGGGGCTTCCATTATTGACGAGTTATCTAGTGTGTGGATCAGTTGGCTGCTTGGGTAGGTCGGTGGCTGTAGAATAAAAAGAAAGTAAATACATAAAATAAAAATCATAAAATAAAAAACATACTTAAAACAAAATTGAAAATTGAAACGTACCTCTGGGTTTGAACGTCTAAGGTGAACGTGTAGTTAACTGTATGTGGAGATCCGAAGTGGTGTAGTTGGATGTAGTTGGAACGTTTGGTTCAGTGGATGCCTCGGGGATGGGTAGGTAGCTCAATAGGTCGGTCGATGGTTAGGCTGTGTCGGTTGTACACTAAAAAGAAAATTCAATTGACTACTTATTTAGATACATGTTGCTTTTAAGGGTTATTTTAAATGGTTAGTTCCCTTAAAACAATTCATACTATTCACCTTACGTCGGTGTACGATACAAAATTAAATTAATTAATTAAAAGGTATTTTAATAGGGTTAGCACCCTTAAAACAAACGTAATATTAACCTTACCTTTAATAGAATAAACACACACAAAAGATGTGGTCCGTGGAAGGATTAGGTGGGTGTGATGGTTGGTAAAGCTGACGTGGGTTAGTTTCAGGAGTCAACAGAGGTCTCAGGTAGGATAAGTCGCTGTGATGGTTGGTTTGAAGTCCGAAGTCGAAGTGATTAGAACACAATTTGCGCGGTCATTTATACGGTTGGACACTCTAATTACAGCCCACACCTACCGACTCCAAAACATGCATGTTCCGAGTTCAAATCCAACCTCGGTGAAAACTTCACCGACCCTAGTATGAACACGGCCCCTTAATCAATAAAAATTATTGATTTGTACTTTAGAATGATTAGATTGAATGATATGTATGCTAACGTCATATCATATTTAGTTTATACATCATTATTTTGGTGAAATTTAAATGTAGACATTTTAACGGTGTGTCATTTGACACGACGTACTATAACGTTGTTGATTTTTAAAACTTGAAGTTTATAATCTTAAGCAAATTTACCACCACCTTACCACAACCTTACCACCACCTTACCACCTTACCACCACCTAAGGTGATCAAAAATTAAGATGACAATGTAAGATATAGAAAAAGAAAATACATTGATTGGTAAAAATAAAAAATTGTCATTAGACGTAATGTATTATGTATAAGTAAACTTTCTTAAAAATTAAAGAAGTTCAAGTCAAAAAGAAGATTGATGAAAACTGTAATACTAAAGCGAACATGTGAAGGTAATCTGCTGCAAGACTAAGATATATATTTTGTTAACCCTTGTCTTCCTAAATTATTTTTTAACTTTTTAAAGAAATTGACTGTTTAGTTAAGGATTCTGACGCGAATTTTTTCACAAGGGAGGATACTCGTGTCTGTAGACAAGGCTGTTCTAATTTTAGAACAGTTGTCTTTCCTCTCGTTTCTCTATTAGGGAAGCCGTAAGGGGAAGACACGCGACACGTCTTTTAAAATGTAAACAAGCGTGCACGGGGTGCACTTAAAATAAACCCCGCTGCGACAATTGTTAAATTTATCTGGCTCAGTGTGGTCAAATGGTGGTCAGATCAAAAGAAAATCGGAACGGTCATAAAAAACTTAATTACTTTTCCAGACTTGTAAAAAACATGTCTACCCACGCATACCTACGTACCAACGCACCAAGTCGCCCTGTCGCCCATTAAAAAACACGAACCTACCGAGACTTCGTTTCGTCTCAAAACCTGACTTAACGGTGGTTGAAAGAAAATTCCGACCCTTAAATATATTTTTGTTTTCGCTGACCCTCGCTATAAGCGAATAGTTACAACCATTAATCTTTCATACATAGCAAGGGACGGTTCGCAGGACATGTGGAAACAAAATTTTTTAATTTGATCAAAGAATGACCGGGCGTACGATATGTGAACATAGTTCATGTACAGCTGTAGTCTAATGAAAAAAGCCGAGAGCCGTGACTAATTACAGCACCAGCTGTCGCCCCACTTAACGCGGAGAGGGACTTAATGGCTTCGATTAATTACCTGTTGTGATCGCTTCAGTGAGCCCGCTATTAAGCAACCACGGGGAGCGCTGGGGAGGATCACGGGCGGATCGATAAGTACAAGCTGTCACTAATAAGTAACAGCTGTGGTTAAATGGATGTTATACACAATGACACTTTCTAGTACACGCTAGTGTTAGTCTTTTATTTTAAACGGCGTACAACAAAGAAATTAAAAGCAAACTAATTAAAATGAATTTCAAACAAATAAATTATACAAAGTAATTAAATTAAACAACAAGTAAACAACAATTAAAAATAAAATTTAAAAATAATAATTTAAAAAAAAAAAAAAAAAAAAAAAAAAAAAATTTAAAAATTTAAAAAATTAAAATCGAATTACGTAACTCGTTAATAATAATTAAACTAATTATAAAATAAAATTAAAAATTTAAAAATTTAAAAAAATTAAAATCAAATTACGTAACTCGTTAATAAAAATTACACATAGGTGGACCATCATACTGATGGTCAGTGGGTTCGATCAATATTAACTTGGCCCTTGTACGGTGGTTCACAAGAACAAAGGATCGCATGTGGATCGATACGTGTCGGGTGCCATTAGCGAGTAACAGGTGTCTCTAATGGATGTTTGTAGTCGACATAAACCCACGATGCATGACCAAATTAATTAGGCGGACCATCCTTTGATGGCCGTGTGTGGAATCAATATTAACGCGCCCGTTGTCCCGATGGTCCCGTGGGTGCGATCAATACATTCCCATTAAAACGGGCAGCGCCGAGAAAACTTCGCGGGCGGTCGATACGTAACAGGTGTGATTTAATGGATGTTCTATTTTTGTAACGTTCGTTGTGTTGGTGAATGGTCCCTATACAAAGTCCACGCTAGTGTTAGTCTTTTATTTAAAACATACATACATTCAAATAAATAAACAACATTAAACAACAAAGAAAAGAAATATATCAAATAAATAAATAAACAAACGTAATTAAAATCAAATTACGTAACTAGTTAATAATAATTTAACTAATTATAAAATAAAATAAAATTAAAAATAAACAAAATAAAAATAATTAAAAAGTAAACAAATAATCAAATTACGTAACTCGTCAATAAAAATAATTAAAAAGTAAACAAATAATCAAATTACGTAACTCGTCAATAAAAATAATTAAAAAGTAAACAAATAATCAAATTACGTAACTCGTTAATAAAAATTACACAATATAAACAAAGTAATTAAATTAAACAACAAGTAAACAAACAAATTAAACAAAATAAAAATACAATCAAAGTAATTAAATTACGTAACTAGGTCAAAAATTAATTAAAATTTAAAAATTAAATTCAAACTCATTAAAAAACGCATTAAATTACGTAACTCGTTAATAAAAATTACACAATATAAACAAAGTAATTAAATTCAAACTAATTATAAAAATTAATTAAAAAATATATTCAAACTAATTAAAAACGCATTAAAATTACGTAACTCGATAATAAAAATTAATTAAAATTTAAAAAACTCATTAAAACTCATTAAAAAACGCATTAAAATTACGTAACTAGGTCAATGATTACGTCACAAGGTCAATGATTACGTCACAAGGTCACCAAAAGGTGACTCACCCTTCACTGCTCCGCCAACCCCAGTTGGCGTAGTATTTTACTATATGTCTTTGCGCCACCCCCACATCCTGCTCCCGAGTATTTTGCTATATGTCATTGCTCCTCCCCATCCCCTGCTCCGCCAAAAATGCGGTCCAAAAGCGACCTAATATACTACTTATATATATATATATATATATATATATAATTTAATCAATCTATCTTAAACGATACTCATGTTATCGAATTCACAGAAAGACAGACATACACATACACACACGTACACACCCAGATATACGGACAAAATTCCAAAATCTAAGTTTTCCCTACGGTGAGATATACATGTATTTTGATTTTTTGCACGATTACAATACTTCCTCTATACTGTGTACACGAGAAATTAAAAACGACATTTTTCATGACACTTACTTGTAACTGAATGACAATAGGTAGAGAATAGACACTGCCATAGGGACAGATATAATGAATGGTACACAGAAATATACAATTTTAAAATAGACACTTTGGTCATTGCAGTAATATTCATTCCATCTATTGAAGCCGCAACACCTGTAGAATACGTAAATGACGCATAAGCAAAATATAGTACATTCTCTTTTATTTTTCTTTTATTTAACTCTAGATTTGTAGACTAACTTAACCATAAGTATAAAGTGATTAATACATTCTACACGATTAAGATTTTGAGATATATTCCCCCCATTGCGCTTGCGATATATTATTACTTGTCCTATACACTACGAATCTATGTTATTGTTTAAAAAATCTTACAATAGTAATTGTATTTGTATGAATCCTTTCACAATGGCATAGCAATAATCAGTGGCTGATTAACGATTACGTGTAAAATGTAATGTTTATTGTGAAACAAATCCTAGAATGTCAAAGACAATATATTGGCCTTACAGTTAGGAAATCCCACCTAGAAGCAGGAGGCTGAAAGTTAATATGTGAATACGAAGAAAAATTCTAAGGCCTTATTTACATGATGGTACAAGACAGATGAGTCACAGCTAGAGTTTGGTGAAGAGATTACACCCACGCTTCTATGTGACATCTGTGCTATTTAACGTGTCTGTTATATTGTTATACTAACCTGTAATGCTTGAATGTGTTTTGCTTGTCGTTATTCAAACAGATCTCAACATTTTTTGAAAACTCAATGTCATACTTGTGTAGGTCATATTTCAGATCGAAATCTAGGGACAGGTAATTATTACATGTATCTGTATATATATATATATATATATATATATATATATATATATATATATATATATATATATATATATATATATATATATATATACATATACATATATATATATATATATATATATATATATATATATATATATATATATATATATATATATATATATATATATATATATATATCAGTGGCGAAGCGAGGTCGGGTGTCACCCGGTGCGGCACTTAATGGTGTCCCCCCGCCCCAGAGGCGTAGCGACCCTTCCCGGGGACAAATTTTCGATTAGCATCCGCCCCCCTCAAGTTTTTCTCTATATATTTTGCTATTTTTTTTCCTTTGTTTCACCCCCTAAATGGTGTTACCCGTTGTGGTCCGCAGACCCCGCCCCCTCTGATATATATATATATATACATATATGTATATGTATATATGTATATATGTATATATATATATATATATATATATATGTATATATATATATATATATATATATATATATATATATATATATATATATATATATATATACATATATACATGAATATATAAAAATAACATTTAATAAGGTTTGTACAAACATAAGAATTCAATTGCATAAGTTTGGTGCTACCAATATATTTAAAAGGCCATATACGGTCCAAGGTGCTTTGACCATAGGGGGGTTTGGCAACAGCGGGGGGTTAACCACATAGAAATTTTAAAAATAGTAACAATAAACTGTTATTTTATTCAAATTTGCGATACATTAAATAAAATTTTATATAGCATATTTTGTTTGAGTCGCTATTGATATAATTTGGTATGTACCGAAAAAGTCAAACACAGTATTTTGATCCACGTCAAAGGTACGCGTACCCCGTATATTTTTAACAAATAAATACATTTATACATAACACACGGAATTTGACAATTGTTTTAAAAATTTCACACATACATAAGCATACCTGAAATTAAAGCATTTCTAATCAACGTTTGCTGAACACTGTGAGATAAATTCCCGAAGCAGTGTTCAGGAGTTACTTGAAACTGTATTTCGACAGAAGACCTGATGTTTCCAAATAGGATTCTAAAAGTCCAAAAATATTCATCGAGAAAGAAGAAGTATACAGATCCGAATTCTTGTGTACGAAACCATCTTGAAAAAAAAAAAAAAGATGTTTACTTTAATGAATAACGATAAAGAATCTAAAGGTCAGTGGCGCAGCTGAAGCATATATGCCTCGGCATATGAAGGGATAGTGTATTCAGCACTGCAGAGGCGTAGCAAAGGGAGGGCAGGGGGTACATATGTCCCCGGGCGCCAACCTTTGTGCAAATCGAAAATTGAAAGTTTGTCCCCGGGCGCCGGGAAGGGTCGCCACGCCTCTGCAGCACTGTGCCTAGCCACCTTTACTATTCCTTAACGTGCTTCAGGTACCCATCCGAACTGTGATGACACATGGACTTTCAACAAACTTAGACCTGGGATGCATTTACATTCGTGTCAAATATTTATTTGAAATGCTAAATCGCTGTAAAGTTGTGTTCATTGACCATCTTATGCAAAGTGTTCAAATTCAACGTTCGAGTCCAAGACACATGGGGCAGGTGAAGTAGAGTTTCAGGGACCTCGGCTTAGTGTGAAGGGATAGTGTGTTCCGTAGTGTGACCAACAGTGGGTTAGGTACTCATCAGCGTTTAAGGGGAAGTTCTACTGACTTGAACCCGGATTCGAACTCGTGACTTTCAAGTTTGCAGCCTAACTCTATACCACGCCGTCCCCAGTACTTTACATTTAACGAATAAACGCTTTAAACTTTGTTGGAGTTATGGTCTTAATATTCGTTTGAGTGTTAAATAAAAAAAACTTAATAAATGCAAAAATAAATTAAACTATTTTTTAAAATTTTAAAGTATTCTCAACTTAATTTTAAAAACATAACCTAAAATAATGTTTTATTCTGTTTGATTTTTATACACGGTAAAAATGAAAACAAGAAGTCAAAGTAGCTTTTGCAAGGCATTAACATTCGGCTATTCAGCAATAATAAAAAAAAAACATTTTATACTTATTGTTCTATGACAAAAAAAATTATAAATATCATGGGTAGAAGTGGAAAACTGTTTTTAATTGTTTAATTTATACTAAAATTTTCCAAAGTTAGAAATATCATTGGAAATTCGGTTGTATTTAAACATTTTAAAGACATGGTTAAAAAATAATACATACATTTATAGAGAATAATATGCTGTCTTTGATACAATTTTTTTATTATTAATTAAATACATATATATATATATACATATATATATATATATATATATATATATATATATATATATATATATATATATATATATATATAACACGCCGTTGGTAAGAGTAGAATACTTTTTTATTTAAATTAGTTCTAACTATTTCAAGTTATTTTTATCCTCATATTTAAGCTGGCAATTGGCGCAGTAAAAGTGTTCACGATAAGAAGAGATCTATCTTTATTGGTTGTAAATGACTTTCATTCAAACTTAAGTGAGGTGTTTTATTATTTTATAGGCGTTATCCTCATTAATAAATCATCAGCCTAGAGCTAAACTAAGGGTTTAAGCTTTACCAGATTGTAGATTCAGCTAAACTTATATAGACGACTACGTGATTTTTTACACGTATATTTTTGAGTGGGGATTATGATATATATATATATATATATATATATATATATATATATATATATATATATATATATATATATATCCAAACTTACCTCCAGTTTTCAAATGGGTAAGCAGATTCTATGGTGTTTTGCTGGTTGGTGTAATTATCGTCAAATACAATCTCATATTCTAGCAGTCTAAACGCAGACGACTTATCAAAGTATTCAAAAAGTGTTTTCTTCAGCTGATCCGTGATGACAGGGGTTAATGTACAGGTAGTGTTGAGCTCATCTTGGGCTGTAACTGTAGCACATGTCCACAGAAGTATAGCCAAATGTGTAAACAATACTAAAGATTTCATTGTGTTCACGAAGCGCAAAATGCCTTGCAACCTGTGGAATAAGACCCTTGGTATTTTTGTACCAAGACAAAGGATTTTTCTGCTGGGATAGAGTTCATGATTATATCTGGATTCTTACTTTAGCTACATACATGCTATTATAAAATAAAATAATAATAAAGATCAATATGGTTTTTAGTGGTAAAGTGTTTTAAATTGATGAAAAGTCCTCGAGAAAAATATTTTGCAAACGCAGTTTTACCGTCGTCTTTATTCATGTGGACATTATTTGGACCATAAAAACGCAACACTAAAGGAAGAGGTAATTAGGTAGGTCAAACAAACCTGGATAAGAAAAGGAGTCAGTGAAGTAAAAGTGGTCAGAATGTCGTGGGCACAACTTGGAGGAATAGCTAGAACCGAGTATGATGGAAGGGTGTGGTCGCGTCCCCTTTGCTCCACAAAAGGGCCCCCATGAAATATGATGATGTTGATGATAAATTAATTTAGATCATCACGCTCACGTTTAGGTTAAGCTACGCGATTCATGATTTAAAAATCGACACTGTTTCTATACATACTTGTAGCTTCCGTGGACCAGACAGTAAGTCTTACTCCACTTTTCAAAAATAGTTCTCAACAAGGATTTAATGTATTGTCTTTTTGTTTTTCTTTACACTTCTATATTAAGGACATGGTGTGTTGCGTAATAATAGTGAGAGAAGCTTTATGTTATGATGCCTTAGTGCATTTAAAATAGCAACGGTATTTAAATCTCCGAAGACATATAATATATTATATAAATATATATATATATATATATATATTATATATAATATATAATTTATATATACAAAGAGAGAGAAAGGGACAGTGTACATATAAATAAATAAATTATATATATATGTATATATATAAATAAATAAATAAATATATATATATATATATATATATATATATATATATATATATATATATATATATATATATATATATATATATATATAGACAGTGTATGTATAGTAAAGGGGCAGTAAAAAAATGTAAACATGACGGTCTATAAGGAAAGTGAAGTAGTGTTCACATGTTTCTGCGAACTCGGCATATGAATAGATAGTGTGGCCAGCACTATGTCCAACCGCCTTTACTTTTCCCTTTTTGAGTTGGGTGGATTCAAGGACGGTCTACTGAGTTAGCAGTCCAGCTCTCTACCGCTAGACCACTCCGTCCTCATTATGACAGTGTATAACATATATTTATATATATATATATATATATATATTTATTTCTATCTATATCTCTCTATGTATATGTAGACAGTATATGTAATATATATATATATATATATATATATATATATATATATATATATATATATATATATATATATATATATATATATATATTTACATATATATATATATATATATATATATATATATATATATATATATATATATATATATATATATATACTTACCTATTTGTAAGACAAATGATCTATTGTTGAAATAATACGCTACAAAAAGTACCATAAACACAAGAAATTCACTTGAAGTCCACTATGTGATAAAAAATACAGCAAATAAGAATTAACTCGGTTAATATATACCCGGTCAGCACTTCCTGTTCTGCGATTTTCCTGCTTGAGGGTTATTGTTTGGTAACGCAGTGATCAAGAGTTGCGATAGGCGTTGCCTCGTTTTAAAATATAACTTCCGCATTCTTATTTTTATTAGCCTATTCTATTGCCCTTTTTTTTTTATTTCAGTGGAGCAAAGGTAATTTACAACACAACTCAAAACTTTTCCGTTATTTTATACCTTGTCCCCATTTCGCTCTAAACTTTCCCTTTTTAAATTTCTCTACGTCTTCTTTCATCCTTTTCTTAAACCTTCTGGACTCCATAAGTATGCCATGTTTGACATCCCCCCCCCAGTAGCATTTACCCCCTGTCATTTACCCTCGCCCAATTATAAATAAACAGTTGGGGTTATGGCTTGAGTAGGGGTTAGGAATATGGCTAGGTTTGAGTTTAGTCTTTGTTAGTGTAGTGTTAGTGTTAGTGTCAGTGTTAGTGTTAGTGTAGTGTTAGTGTTAGTGTTAGTGTTAGTGTTAGTGTTAGTGTTAGTGTTAGTGTTAGTGTTAGTGTAGTGTAGTGTAGTGTTAGTGTTAGTGTAGTGTTAGTGTTGGTGTTGGTGTTGGTGTTAGTGTTAGTGTAAGTGTTAGTGTTAGTGTTAGTGTTAGTGTTAGTGTTAGTGTTAGTGTTAGTGTTAGTGTTAGTGTTAGTGTCAGTGTCAGTGTAAGTGTCAGTGTCAGTGTCAGTGTCAGTGTTAGTGTTAGTGTTAGTGTTAGTGTTAGTGTTAGTGTTAGTGTTAGTGTTAGTGTTAGTGTTAGTGTTAGTGTTAGTGTTAGTGTTAGTGTTAGTGTTAGTGTTAGTGTTAGTGTTAGTGTTAGTGATAGTGTTAGTGTTAGTGTAGTGTAGTGTAGTGTTAGTGTAGTGTTAGTGTTAGTGTAGTGTTAGTGTTAGTGTTAGTGTTAGTGTTGGTGTTAGTGTTAGTGTTAGTGTTATTGATAGTGTTAGTGTTAGTGTTAGTGATAGTGTCAGTGTTAGTGTTAGTGATAGTGTTAGTGTTAGTGTTAGTGTTAGTGTTGGTGTTGGTGTTGGTGTTGGTGTTGGTGTTAGTGATAGTGTTAATGTTAGTGATAGTGATAGTGTTGGTGTTGGTGTTGGTGTTGGTGTTGGTGTTGGTGTTGGTGTTAGTGTTGGTGTTGGTGTTGGTGTTAGTGATAGTGTTAGTGATAGTGTTAATGTTAGTGTTAGTGTTAGTGTTAGTGTTGGTGTTGGTGTTGGTGTTGGTGTTGGTGTTGGTGTTGGTGTTGGTGTTGGTGTTGGTGTTAGTGTTGGTGTTGGTGTTGGTGTTAGTGATAGTGTTAGTGATAGTGTTAATGTTAGTGTTAGTGTTAGTGTTAGTGTTAGTGTAGTGTAGTGTTAGTGTTAGTGTTAGTGTTAGTGTAGTGTTAGTGTTGGTGTTGGTGTTGGTGTTAGTGTTAGTGTAAGTGTTAGTGTTAGTGTTAGTGTTAGTGTTAGTGTTAGTGTCAGTGTCAGTGTAAGTGTCAGTGTCAGTGTCAGTGTCAGTGTTAGTGTTAGTGTTAGTGTTAGTGTTAGTGTTAGTGTTAGTGTTAGTGTTAGTGTTAGTGTTAGTGTTAGTGTTAGTGTTAGTGTTAGTGTTAGTGTTAGTGTTAGTGATAGTGTTAGTGTTAGTGTAGTGTAGTGTTAGTGTAGTGTTAGTGTTAGTGTAGTGTTAGTGTTAGTGTTAGTGTTAGTGTTGGTGTTAGTGTTAGTGTTATTGATAGTGTTAGTGTTAGTGTTAGTGATAGTGTCAGTGTTAGTGTTAGTGATAGTGTTAGTGTTAGTGTTAGTGTTAGTGTTAGTGTTGGTGTTGGTGTTGGTGTTGGTGTTGGTGTTAGTGATAGTGTTAATGTTAGTGATAGTGATAGTGTTGGTGTTGGTGTTGGTGTTGGTGTTGGTGTTAGTGTTGGTGTTGGTGTTGGTGTTAGTGATAGTGTTAGTGATAGTGTTAATGTTAGTGTTAGTGTTAGTGTTAGTGTTGGTGTTGGTGTTGGTGTTGGTGTTGGTGTTGGTGTTGGTGTTGGTGTTAGTGTTGGTGTTGGTGTTGGTGTTAGTGATAGTGTTAGTGATAGTGTTAATGTTAGTGTTAGTGTTAGTGTTAGTGTTGGTGTTGGTGTTGGTGTTGGTGTTAGTGTTTGTTAGTGTTAGTGTTAGTGTTAGTGTTAGTGTTAGTGTTAGTGTTAGTGTTAGTGTTAGTGTTAGTGTTATTGTTAGTGTTAGTGTTAGTGTTAGTGTTAGTGTTAGTGTTAGTGTTAGTGTTAGTGTTAGTGTTAGTGTTAGTGTTAGTGTTAGTGTTAGTGTTAGTGTTAGTGTTAGTGTTAGTGTTAGTGTTAGTGTTAGTGTTAGTGTTAGTGTTAGTGTTAGTGTTAGTGTTATGGTCATGGTTAGGGTTAGGGTTATAGTTAGGTTTAGCGTTAGGTTTAGATGTAATTTTAGAGTTTGTATTAGGATTGATGTTGGGGCTGGGGTTAGCTTTGGGTTTGTTCTTGGGTTTTTGGTTCAGGGTTAGACTCATGTTTCTTCAGCAGGGAGGTTGTAATTGACGGGGGGGGGGGGGGAGGCGCAGATAATGTCCCAGACCAAGTTTCCTAAACATTTTTGGCCGTCTGTCTCCACCTTTATCCCAGAAGTTTTTTGTTTTATTTGGATTTGTCTTGCTCTTTATCTCTTGTACCTACCCTAAAATCGATTGCACTTATATTTACAAAACAGTCTCAATTTTTCACGTACTTGCAAAAAAAAAAATTAATTTCACAACACACTTTATAAATAATACATAGGTTACCTGCAAAATTTGAATAGCCTAGGCCTCTTAAACATGTATTCTATAAATTGTGTCCTATTGCCTGCTCAAATTGAACCACTATTTTTATATACGTAATATAAACAGTTATTACAGCTAAAGAAAAATATCGATGCGGTTTAGACAGCAGCAGATTAGTTAGAATAGTTAGATTTGTCAGTATAACACTACCATAATGGCGATCTTACTTCTAGCGATACTCAAAATCGTAATAAATGTCATAACAAATTTTAGTCCAAAGTTTGATAAAAAAACAATGAGGACAGTATGGCTTTTTTATTACAAGCTTTTATTTTACTAACTGTCTCTGTCTAGATCGAAACACCCGAGCGAAAACTCAGGTACTTTTAACTGACAGATTCGGTTCACAGATAGTACGTGGGTCAAGACATGAAGAAAAAAAACAAGACATTAAATAACACTTAATTGGTTGCCTTATTAACTTTTAATGAATAAATAAAGATTAGTTGGCAGTCTTACTTAAACTAATCCGCACTATAAAACGCGCGTTGTCACGATCATAAGGTGCACAATGGTTTTTAGTCATGCAACTCTATTGTAAGGTAAAAAAAATAAAGTCCTGAAAAAAAGTCATAAAAAACGTTTAAATAACAAGCTTTTATGTAATAATGTATTAAAAAGTTGAAAATAAATTATACAACGCTTTTTCAATAACTATAAAGAAAAGCTTGGGTCTCTTCCCAAAAATTAGTAAAGGTATCCAATAGATACTAAAGTGACCCACGCTTTTCTTTATAGTTATTTAAATAGTAGTCTATAATTTATTTTCTACTTTTTAGTGCATTATTACATAAAAACCGTTTTTTTTGTTTGTTTTTAAATTTTTACTTCTTTATTTTTTCACATTTCTTTAAAATTTAAACTAGAAGTAAGAGAGGAAAAAAGAGTTATTAATGTATCGTGTACTGGCAGAGATGAATATATATTGTTGACGTAGGAAAAAATGTCAAATTGTGTTTTGCTTCTTCATTTCTTTACTACTTTGCTACAAATTACTAAAAAAATGTAAGATGAATCGATATCCGAATGTTGGCATTATGTACAGCTAGACCTAGTAATAATGGTGCATGTCATTTTTTGCTGCTACTGATGAAGTGTTGAAGCTGAGAATACAGTAAGCATTCCTAAGTTGCTTTGTTTAAAGAAATGGAATCGTAAACTTATCCGAAGGTTTCTAGAATTAAACCATGGATAATTGTGTTGTAGACAGGGCCGGCGCTACCTATAAGGCGAACTAGGCGGTCGCCTAGGGCGCTGTCCGTATGAGGGGGGCGCCAAAATGGGTTGGAAAAACAAATCGAAAGTTTGACGGGGGGGTGCAAATCGAAAGTTCTAGGGGGGGGGGGCGTGCAGATCGGAAGTTTGTCCCCGGGCGCCGGGTAGGGTCGCTACGCCTCTGATAATACGGGGGCACGAAAAAAATTGCTGGGAGGGGGCGCTTTTAATAAGTTTTGCCTAGGGCGCCAAATAACCAGGCGCCGGCACTGGTTGTAGAATGCAAAAAAAAAAAAAAATATCGCATGGATCTCATAAACACTTCATTTTTCTTAAATAAAATAAACAGACAACTCTGATTTATCTACTCTATCGATCATTAATCATTAGGTCAAGAGATTGTTTCCAGAAATAATTATCGCGAAAGTTAATTCGCAAATATAACACTAGACCCACTGTTTAAAACGGTTTAAATTTCTACGCTATCAAATAAATTAAATTTAGCTTAGCAACATGTAGGACTAAGTTCTCTGATAAGACATACACGGGAGACGCAGCAACGAACATAACGTAATGAAAACCAAAACTGAAAGTGGAATAGTTTTCGGGATTTCCCGATCAACTTCGGCGTAACTGCCACGACATTGTGTTGTGATTCTCTCGATGTTAAAATAGTTGTATTTAATTTAACAGAAGTAAGTACATATCCTTAGAAAACGGATACTGCAGCACATATTATAAGTATTATTACATGAGAAGTGAAGATCTTCAGTATGTTAAATGTCTGTAGCGAAGTATCTGAGATTTCGTCCAAAATCGGAACTAGACCTAAACAAATATAACCCATAACTGTTTTGTATTGAAACTGTACTAAAATATCATTAACATATTTTATGTTACAATCGCTTTTCGATTAGTATATAGTATATTGTTAGCATGTATGAAAAAGTAAGTCCTTGTAAGCCAAGTATATAACCTCCCCTATTCACTAAATACAATGTAAAGTAGAGTTTATGTATGCGTTTGAACTTTGTAGAAATACAAATAATAGTATACAGTTTTAGATATGGTTAAATAAACTTTCAAAATTAGTTAAAAAAAAAAAAAAAAAAAAAAACATAAACCCAAGAATGTTAAACGTCTTGATTAAAACCCAGGGGCGTAGCGAGGGGGGGGGTGAGGACCGCACCGGGTGACACCATTTAGGGGGGTGACACCAAGGCAAAAAATAGCAAAATATATAGAAAAAAACTTGAGGGGGGGTGCAAATCGAAAGTTTGAGGGGGGGGGGTTGCAAATCGAAAACTTGACGGGGGGGGGGGGGGGGTGTAAATCGAAAGTTCGAGGGAGGGGGTGCAAATCGAAAATTTGAAAGTTTGTCCCCGGGAAGGGGTCGCTACGCCTCTGGGGGGGGGGGGGTGACACCATTAAGTGCCGCACCGGGTGACACCCGACCTCGCTACGCCACTGTTAAAACCAATGGTGTAGCTACTGCATAGCAAGTATTAACAAGGCATACGTGCCCTAGAAACACATGGGCCCTTATCCCCATATGGCGAATATAAAATGACCAGGAACGTAGTAGTCGACTTTTTTGGTGACAGCTTACAACTCTGTTGCAGCCTATAGGGATCCACAAATGATTTTCGTAACAAGGGCCCACAAATCCTAGCTACTCCACTTATAGAATAACGCTTATGTGGGTGACTGTAAATTATTTAAATATTTTTGTGTAGATGACGCTCAGTTCGCGCTCCAGAAAATATTTACACAACATGATTGACAGCTTACACGAACAACATCTGGAGCTGCAATCTCTTTTAGCGGATTTTGTCTCAAAGGTAAACATGAAACAACCAAACAATGACGTACAATTTAAAAAAAAAATTCATTAAATCGCATTACTGATTATAAAGTTAAGGGTTAAATTAAAGTCTACAGAAGAAACTTTATTAAATTCGTCTATTTAAAATTAAATTCAATTTGCCATCAAGCAATTCATACCTTATTTGATTATAGCAAGATTTATTATGTTTATAAATATAACACTTGTTTTAATCTTACTGATCATAGTATACATGTTAATGCTTAACTTATTTTATATCTTTTAATTTACTAGAAAAATTAACTAAAACTGATATTTTAACAGAAATCTTTCTTTCAGGGATATCGTCGGGTGGGTGGGTCCTCAGAATACGTCCGCACCCACACCGGCGAAATAACATAAAATAAAATATAATAAAAATAGAAGATATATCAGTGCATGCTCCTCCCTTCTGGAAATTTAAGTTCTACCGCCCACCCCAGAAACTTTTAAATTTCACCTAGGAGAAAAAATTCTGAAAGAAATATTTATCTGTTTATATAAACATTATATATATATATATATATATATATATATATATATATATATATATATATATATATATATATATATATATATATATATATATATATATATACGTATGTGATTGTTAAAGACAACAGCTAGTGCTAGAGAATGGGTGGAATCTTCGGACCAAAGACGCATGACATTTGATGATGTTGTGGGCATGTTGTCTTTTACAAGTGGGAAGTTACTTGCAAATATGGACTTTATAACAGGTAATTTAATAACTATGGAACAATGGAAAGTGGGTTTTGACATTTTCTGAAAGTGTTTTTAATTCATATTTAAAAGAAAGCAACAAAATAAATAAGATAATAGTTACATAATCATTAGACTATTGTGCATAACATAAATTTGAAAATAAACCGGGAGTGATCTCCCCTAAACTTTCTCGAATATTCTTATATAAAACAACAGGGATGGGAACTCGGGCGACATGATTTTTAATCCATTTTAAATACTTAAAGTTTTAAAAATAGAATAAAATCTCGTAGACAAAAGAATTGCACATCAAGTGAACGCTAAATTAAAAAAGTGCATAATAGTGCGCAATATTATTAGTACTTTAAAAATTTACATTAGTTTTTTGAGAAATCGGAAGTAGCGTTAATTACTACTTCCGGTCAATACTTCCGGTCAATGGAAATTACTCAAAATTTAACAGAAGGTAGAGAATTAGATCTTTTACTTACAAGTGAAATTTCATTTATCTATCTGAAATAGTACTCAAGTTATAGGCTTTTGAAAAATTCAAAGTAGAAAAAGTACCACTTCCGGTTATCGGAAATGGCTCAAAAGTTGATACGGATCTACGATTTTGATAAAATACTTATATATGAAATTTCATCAACCTAGCTGTAACGGTACTCAAGTTATCGTGTTTACACACGGACAGACACACACACACACAGACATACGGACAGAATTGCAAAGCCCAGTGTTTCAGACTGGATTACGCATAAAACCTCTTAATTTTGATAAATCTGGATTGATAATTTTTGCCCGATTAAAATAAGTCCTCTATACTTCGGATGTGATGAAGGACTGAGGTGTAATACGGTGAAAATTGTTAAAATTTCAAGTGATTTTTGTGCACGATTACAATACTTTCTCTATACTTCGTATATACGAGAAAGTAAAAAAAGAGGGTGGCGAAGAAAAAAGCGATATAACTTGTAAGTGTAGAAAGAAAGTAAACGTTATTTTATACAAATCGTAACCATTTTCCAATGCTTTGAATATTATTCATCACACACTCGAAAAAAGAATTAGCTCATTTAAATTGCATGGGTCATATATGATTTTAGTTTTTTCCGATTCTTCAATTTCCGTTTTCTGTTATTTGGCGTATGATTGTTCCCTTTTACAATTTTAATTACTTGTAAAAATCTTGTTCAATTACGGAATCTAGATTATAGAAGACGTTATAACGTACAAGTATATTATTTAAACTGTTTGTTAAAGCTCAAAGTTTTTAGACCACTGGGCATTGAACCAATCAACAAATATCTCATTACGAAAACCCTTAAATTGACGTTTGTAAAAGAAAAAATAACAACTAACATTAACGAGAACTTAACTTTGCAATAAGTAAGATTTTCTTTTCTACAACATTTTTTGTTTAATTGTTATTATCAAAATTTAAAGTAGAAACCAAATAATTAATTCTTTCTGACAAACAAGAATGTATATATATATATATATATATATATATATATATATATATATATATATATATATATATATATATATAGATATATATATAGTGTTAACTAATTAATGTTTCTACTTTAAAACATATTTTTGGGTCAGATTTAACACACTTGTATTTTTTTCAATACGAGTTAACTTTATAAGTAACAAGTATTGAAAAAATCATGTTTTCCATCTACGAAAATGCATCACCATACTGGTATAAATGCCCAATTGGAGTCCAAAATGTTACAAAAATATTGGCATTAGGAAATGTTGCTTATCCAATATAATGTTTGCTATAGTTTTGTATTGAATAAAAATAGATAAACATAAAAATAAATAAAAAAACCTGCTAAACATATTTTTTGATATTAGGTGCCAGTTCTCATAATGATAAAAAACCACAAAGGGAAGAACATGAAAATACAAGTTCTTGTTTACAAATGGTTGAAAATGCTGATCTAAAAGATTCAACTAACAATGGTATATTCGTGTATTTGATGTCTTAAAAAGCAGTCTTAGTGAAGTAATTAATTAACAAATACAGACATCAAAAGAAATTATATATATATATATATATATATATATATATATATATATATATATATATATATATATATATATATATATATATATATATATATATATATATATATATACATATATATATATATATATATATATAATATATATATATATATATATATATATATATATATATGTAATTTGCAAACAAATTATGTTTACAGATAAAAAGTACCAAGACATATTGTCAAGACTAGAAATTGTCGAAGCTTCTGGTGTTTCCTTCAGCAAGATGGAAAAAGACATTGAAGGGTTAAAAATTGAGTTAAAACAATCAACAGACAGACTTGGAACCAATCAAAATGAGATGGAAAATAAAATAAAAAATCTATTCAACAAACACAACTCCAAAAATAAAACCCAAAATAAGCAGTTTAGAGAAATTGATACAAAAGTAGGGCAACTGAAAACTGAAATAATGGGTTTAAAGCAAGCAGATTCTGAATCTGAAATACTAATTAAGGATATGGCTCATTCAATTGCTGTTATTGCTAAGGATTTTAAAGTATTAGATTCAACTTTGGATTCATTCGTAAAAGAAATAAATAATAAAACAGAAGCAATAGATAAAATGCTTTTAAAGTCAGCTAAGCAGCAGGATGAGTTCAACACAAAGGTAGATAAAGTTGCTTCAACAAAAAGTCTTATTTCTAACTCACAACCTACTTTTATTATTAACGAAACATTTTAAAATATTGATCGTGCTAAATATCTGTGGAATCAATGAAAAAATGTAGGTTAAACAATGAAGCAAAAATAATTCAACAAATTTATCAAATTATAATATATTATAATATATATATATATATATATATATATATATATATATATATATATATATATATATATATATATATATATATATATATATATATATATACATATATATATATACACACATTGTTTGTGCATATTGTTACTCATATGAAATACTGCCAGTAAAAATACAGCTTTGATGCAAAATTACGTACACTTATCTTTAACGAATTTTCAATTATCTGCTGTATAGCATGGTGTTGTTTGCAAAATTCTTCTGCAAAGATTAGCTCCCATCGACCACGCAATGAACGTTTTAAATACGACTAGCATGTGGAAGAGAAATCAGGTATTTTATTTCTAATTTTTAAATGAACTGCAAAGTGTTAATACATAACGTCTTTGTTCTTAAATTTACAGTGTAATAATATTTTCCACTTAATAAACCGAAATTAATTTTAGAATGATCAAACGTATTTATTTAGCACCATATACCAAACATATTTTAATAATAATGATACACATGTATTTATTTCGATCTAAACATCTGGTCTTAGGTGCTTTGACCACAGGTGCTTTGACCATAGGGGTTTGACCATAGGGGTTTATACCACAGCTGAGCTTTGACCAAAGGGGGTTTGACCATAGGGGGTTTGACCACAGCGGGGCTTTAATATTTGCTGCGTTTGCTTCAATAACTACTGTTCTTATCCAGGCGTACTTATTTTCCTCTTTACCTGTGGTTGCGTCAAATATTCCACAAAGCGGCCATATGAATATTGATGACGATAAACCTACGTTGGAATACTAAATTTCTAGGGATTTTTCATTAATTTACAACTTTTTTTAAACTAACATAAAGTGTTCCTTTGCGTTATAATATATATATATATATATATATATATATATATATATATATATATATATATATATATATATATATATATATATACATATATATATACATATACATATATACAAACATATGTTCTCTATTAAACAGACATTACAGGTCTCACAGATGAGATCAGAACTCTCCGCACTGAAAGCACAGTTACGGAACTTGGGTGAGTTTCTACCTAAAAGTTCTAAAATTGGTTTTCCATTGGCCTAAAGTACTTATGAAAAAAATAAATCATTGTTTGAAGTAGCGTACAATATGAATAGTGGAACTTTTTGTGAACATTTTAAATGTTGCCGTGAAGTTAAATAAGTGTATTAGGGTTTCGCTTGTTAAAATTAATTTTTATACATTTTTGTGTCGTGTAATTTCTTCAATATATTGTCTTCAATTATTCCGTTCAAAGTATATAGTAGGCGATTAAGTTTAATACCTTTGATATCAAACAGTAAATATAACTACATATTTATGTATCTATGTTTTACATTTCCATTCTATACCTTTGTGAACGTGCGTGAGTATGAAATTGTAAATAGTTTAAAGTTATACAGAATGTAAATTGTTCAAAAAGTCAATAATTTTATAATGCAAAGTAGCTTTGTGCAAATGATAAGCTTAAAAGACAATATAATATTACCAGATGGATATTATCTTGATAAAAAATTCATTCTAAAATTTAATAGCGAAAACTAATAAAATCTTTTAAACGTGTTTGTTCTTTACAGTTAAACGCTTCTTAAACATTTAGGATAGTTTGAAACATTATAGCTACTGTTGATAGTTATATTGTCAGTTACAATGATTCCCTTTTACATAGACAGAATGACGTAGTCTTTATTTACTTTTCACAAACAATTGCTATGCTTATATAAGAAATACGGCATCTGGACAATTCTGATATATAGCTCACGTAAAAAGAATTTTACCCACGGTCATTTCTTTGGCCCTCATTGAAGGCTTTGAGAGTGACCGACAGCTTTTCCATACGGCCAAACCATTTATCAAATAGCATGTCAAAAATTAGTGAGATGAACAGTACCCTTTGTTTTTCACATAAATTACAATGATTATATGTGGAAATACGACTGGTCAATTTTGATAGATTTATAGATTTTTCCGAGATATGGCGAGTATTTTTTTCTGACATCCATATGCGTTTTACTACGACCTCAGAAAATTTCAATAGGGCAGTGGAACATTCGGCGTAAGCTGTATTATGATATATATATAGCTCATATAAAAAGAATTTCACTCGTTGTAATTTTTTAGCCCTCGCCATGTGGGTAGAGGTCATAAGGTCGATTCATTTACCCATGTCTCTAGAAAATTGAGCCAGATGTACAGAGTCAGAAACCTGTTTTGTAATTGATTATCGTTTTTTACCAATTTAGCAATGTTTATATAGGGAATTCGGACTGGTCACTTCTAAAGCCGATCCGGAATTTTTCCAAAAAAAAAACTATTTTTAGTGACCCCCGCGAGTAATCCTACAACCTAAGAAGTGTTTAGTTGGTTTGTACGTCCAGATATTTGTATTTTAAAAAAAAAGTACTATGTTTATATAAGAAAATATTGTGAGTTAAAACAGTGTTTCGGATTTTTCCCGAGGATAGCACCATTTTTTTGGCCCTTGGGGCCGATGTACAATCTTAAGAGTTTTCAAATGGTTTCTACGTGGAAATTTGTTTTGATACATTGCTTTTCACACGCGTTCACATTTTATCCCTCGCCATGCGAGCAGAGGCTGACCGATAGTTTATCCATAAGGCCGATTCATTTACCCAGGTCTATGGAAAAAAAGATATAGCTTTTTTTATTTACCCCCCCCCCCCGGCCCCCCCCCCCCCCGAGGGTCGGTCTACGACCTCAAAAGTTATGAAGAGGTTCCTACGTGGGAAATTGTTTTGGATACATAGCTCATGTAATCCGCCGGTCAGTCGCGGTCAGTTTCGACCCCCTCATTGTGGACTTTTTGGCCGACTGGCCCTCGTGTTCTGTCGAACCGAGGCAGGAGCCTGAAAAATTGAAAAGCCGACCTCTTTGTTTTATATATATATATATATATATATATATATATATATATATATATATATATATATATATATATATATATATATATATATATATAAACGTTTTTTTTTCCAGATCGTATTCCTTCATCGCAACCAAACTTTATCGGGTTCTCAGCAACATTGAACATGCGGGATGCTGTTATTGGAGGTTCTCTAATAAAAGGATTTTCCGAAATAATTTTGAACATAGGACACCACTTTAACCCAACCACTGGCGTGTTTGTTGCTCCGAAATCTGGCGTGTACGTCGCTTCTTTCCATGGTTCACAAATTAACGACGGCTTTTTGTTCATGCACATGGTACATTTGGACAGATCTAGAGAAAAAGTAGTGAGTTTGATGCGGACCAATGGTGAATATACTTCAACTGGATGCAGCGTCATTGTGATAATGAACCAGAATGATAAACTGTTTGTGCGGTTAATCACGGCAGAAGGTGAAGCACGACTCTCAGCATTTGCTAATTTTTCATGCTTTGTCACCAACACTTGCGATTAAAGTAGTAATTTTTGGCAGGACAGTCAGCTTTAAATTATTCAAATTACAATAATTACATTTACTTTATTTTTGTATTGCATTTTAACTTTTAATTAGCGTTTACTTAATTTAAATGCTAAACAGTTAGGCAGTTAAGGCATTCTAATGGAAAAATCCCTTTACATGCAGTGTTTCTTCCAGACTTTTTTCTCCGGGGTTGCATTTGAAATTTTCGGGGGGGGGGGGGGGTGGTAGACTTTTTTCGGGGGGCGGACACTGTTAAAAGTATATATTTTCTATATAAATTATATAAATTTCATTTCGTTTGGGGGGGGGGGGGGCGGTAAAAAAAATTTTTTTGGGGGGGGGGGGCCTCGACCCCCCGAAGAGATGCCTGGAAGAAACTCTGTTTACATGATATATTTATGCATAGTGTAATAAGCTAATAATATGTTAGTTTAGATTATTTGTGAATGAAGGTTAGCGAATGTAAAGGCGGCTGCTTAAATTGCTAACCACACTTTCTCTTTTGATGCCGAGGTCATACAAACAAATAGACTCTACTTCAACTGTCCCATGTATCTCCGTGTTCAAAAGGTCTACATTTTTTACGCTTTATTTAAAAAAAAATATACCATATTCTACGTGATTGAGATTTATTATTAGCCTCAGTCGCACTGCTAACCCGAAAATCTCGAATTCAATCCGGGTCCGGGTCAGTAGAACATCGACTCCAACTAGATGTAATGGGTATCCAAATCTTATGTCGGGGATTGTCAAGTCGGCTATTCAAAATGTTGACCACACTTTCCTTTCATATGCTGAGGGCGAGAAACATATGAATTCTATTCATCTGCTCAACATGTCACTAGATGTAAAGTTTATTCTTTACTTTTATTTATTACTTTACATTCTACGTGGTGATTTATCTTCACTAACCCTAATCCCAGCCCTAACCCTAACTGGGCCGGGGTAATTGACAGGAAGGTGTGAGTAATTATCAGGGCTTTCCTAAACTTATGGTGCAGAGGTAATTGAAACAGATGAACTCTACTTCATCTGCTTATGCGACTAATGGAAAAGGTGATGACATAATTTGTAGAAGTTAATAAAATACCAGGCTGATAAAACGAAACACTTTTCCACATTTTCACGCTTAAATTCGCGCAGACAATGTTTATTTTGTAAGAATTTATTCAAAGAAATACGTTTATAATTGCTAACATAAAATGTGTTGCTCTAATTAAACAATAAAGAACGATATATATATATATATATATATATATATATATATATATATATATATATATATATATATATACAATTAACATATGAATAATATTGTATAATTTAATATAAAAGTATAATATTATTTATAATAGTTTACTGCAAGTTATTAAAAAAATATCAAGACAATAAATCAGAATGTGGTCTACCAAACATTTAAAAATAAGTACATTTTTAGTACCGAAATTGAAGCGGTTCCAAAACAGGTATTCTACTGTCATCAATGAAAATGTCCGGTGGAGTAAATAAATTGTTAATAATATTCGACATTAAAATGTTTTTAACGCACTGATTAAGTGTATAACAAATGATGTTAAAAAAAAAGTAGACATTTGCTTGCTTTCTACAGGCGTCAATAACTGACACATTTTCTTTCAGAAATATATCCCATACAAAAAACAACTGGTATATTTATGAAATGAGTTAGTTACAATTTATTAATACATAGTAGAACGCATATGTTCGTATTTGTTATCAAAAACCTATGACTAATTATAAAATATCTACATTAATAATACAGTTGTGCTTTGAAATCTACACAACAGTCTATTCCATATCAAACGTTCTCAACATCTGGGAGCAAATGACTCAATTCTGTATTTTCTTGTTCCTGTAGTAATAAATAATACATAACTTAGCGCAAAAGAAAGTCAGCGTGCAATTTTTGTTTTAAACGCGCCAAAATATTTTGCATGTTTAAGTTACTTAAACTACATTTTATCCACATGTTTTTTACATTTTACGCCTACATTAGTTATATAAAGACCGAATTTATAGTTTTCAATCGTTACAGAAATGAATTTATATTGAAGATTTTGGGAGCAGGAAAAGAGGTGTATTCGGTGTTTCTTTCAGACAGGGGGCAAGCGATCTTTAAAATGTCGTGCGGTGGAGGGGGGGGGGGGGGTGGCTGGAAACTTTCGACTGGGGGGTTCACACTGTTTAACATATGACATTTTTTGTATGAATTTACTTTGGTTCTATTTACTTCGGAGGCGGTGGACGTTTAGGGGGGGGGGGAGGAGGATAATTCTTACCCTCTGTATTTCTACCAGAGTTTCTTCCAGGCATCTCTTCGGGTGGGGGGGGGGGCGAAGCCCCACCGAAAAAATTCTACCGCCCCCCTCCCCGAGCGAAATGAAATTTATATAATTTTTATAGAAAATATATACTTTTAACAGTGTCTGCCCCCCCCCCCCGAAGAAAGTCTACCACCCCCCCCCTGAAAATTTCAAGTGCCCCCCCCCCCCCCCCGGAGAAAAAAGTCTGAAAGAAACACTGATTTCTACATGTTACAATTGTTACCATTTTGCGTTACCTGGTTCGAAATATTTTCCGGGTCTTCAAATAATAATTCTATGTTGCCTTTAATTGTGCTGATAATACTGAAACGGAATTGTAAATAGCTCGATCATACATACCTATCAAGGCATTTAACATGTAACCTATGAGGATAATAATTAATTAGCATGCACATCTTTATCATCACTGGAATAAGATAAATCTGAATTGAAATCAAACTATCTTATTTACTGAATGTCTTAAATTAAATTCCATTAAACATTAAAAAAACACATAATTAACGGAATTTCTGTAAAGGTTAAAAATAAACGCAAATATGATGGATAATTGAAAAGTTAATTTTTAAATCTCGTTACACAGATAACATGTTTTATGTTCGTTATGCTAAATGATTTGATAATGCTATAAATTACTTAAATTACGTCACCTGCGAATTTTTTCTTTGAAAGATTTTAATAATTGTTTCAGTCTTTCACATTTACTGTTGAAATATAAAAAAAACCTCTGTTTAGTTTGAAAACTTTTAGGTAAATGCATTACAAAATGTATGTATTTTTTAAACTTTTAAACAAATTGATTTCACAATTATTTTTACAATGATTACAAAGTGCAATATTTAATAAAAATCTTTTATAATTTAAGTTTCGTGAAAAACCATCTATGTGCAAAATGTTTTATTACCTGATATCTGGTTCTTTTGTGGCCAAAGTTTTTATAACTTCTTCGACAGCTTCCTTAAAACTAAAGAAATATGGGATTTAGAAAACATTAATATTCACATTAAAACGATGTAGTTGAATAGTAAAGCGTTCGACTTGTTAACCCGATTGTCTTGAATTCGGATCCCGGGCTCCAGTTCGTGCGATGTCCCTAAGCAGTGGCGTCGCTAGGTTAGGTATCGCCCGCTGCGGCACTTCGTGGTTTTTCCCCCCTTCCCCCCCCCCCCCCGTGCGTATGTGTGTCGTCCTAAATAGGTCAATAATTTAAATATATGCCACATACGCTTACTTACAAGTATGTTTATAAGCTTTAATCACTGCATACTTAATAGTAACGATTTTTATCAATTGTCTCTTAATAATATAGTTGAATGTAGCATAGTTTTCCCTTAAGTTAGCACGTTTTCGTCATGCTGTAAGCCCACCCCAAGTAATACTGTTTAACTTCAATTCATTATTAAGGGATCTGCTGAAAAAAAATCATTTTTCTTCTCTATATTTTGCAGTTTTTTGCCTTGGTGTCACCCCCCCCCCCCCACCCTCCTAAATTGTGTCACCGGTGCGGCCCGCACCCCCCGCCCCGCCCTCGCTATGCCTCTGTCTCTGAGTCCACCCAGCTTTGATAGGCAACTGAGTAACGTTAGGGAAAGTAAAGTGATCTGGACTGATTATACTATCACTTAACAGGACAAGTTCGTTAAACAGGTCAACTCTACTTCACCTGCGAATTAGACCTTAAGGTTTTTAAAAGGTATTTTAGTCACTTAAATACTGCTTAGTTTTGCGTTGGCTATCCCTAAAGAAGATTAAGCTCCAAACTAACTCTAAATATCACACCAATACTATAGTTTTACAATGTTACAAAGTTATTACTACTTGATCCTAACTAGCTTTCTTTTGCCAGGGTTATAAAAACATATGTATAATGGTGGATAGGTTGCTTTATTTAATATATGTGAAATTAACTGTCAAAATAGGTTTACTAAAACACCAAAAATTAAAAAAAATAATTATTATATTACTATATCAAATGGTTGGTACATTTTACAATTTTTTCAGTAGGACTATTCTATAACGACAAACGTGAACAAAATAAATATTGTATGTGATCGTTGATTGTCTCCTTGTATAATTCAAAATAATCTGTCGAATTAATTCTATTGTAACATTACTCCTTTATAGTATCTATCGACACAAACTTCATGGAAGTTTGTGTAGTTATTCTTGTGGCAGAGAGAAATTATGTCAATTGAATTATTTATATCATACATATATATATATATATATATATATATATATATATATATATATATATATATATATATATAAAATATATAAAGCTCAATTCTGTGTGTAACATGTAATAAGTTTGTTTGTCGTTGACATACTTCTATGGATTTAAGTGTTAGACTTTTACAGTGCTCAGAGTCTAAATTTATGAGTTAAGAAATTACTATTGAAAGTGTTGGGAAATAATTTTCATTTTTCAAACTGATTGTAATAATTGTCGGCATGTTCATTCAACACAATTTTAAAAAAATAACAAAAATTCTAATTATGTCTGAAAATTATTTATATTTAGTCCTTTAGCACTTACTTCCCTTCGATTAAGTAGGAAAACACAATTACTTCCCTTTATAAAACATTGCATTATTGGAAAAGAATTTACTTTTTATTACTTTGCTTTGGTGTTGGCAAAAAAATAATTACATAATTAGCGGGGATTGATCAAGTGCAAATGTTGTAGGTATTTTACGAATAAGCTTGGAGTATTATAATTGTTCATTTGGTTTGGTTTGGCACCTACGTTCGTTTAAGTGAGTGCAAAAGACTATGAATAAGTTGGGGTACTATAGTCGTTTATTAAGCTGAAACAGTCGATTCTGCACCGGGCTAGACTGTGAGCACTTTGCGTTTATGTTCGCGTTTGTGTTTTCATTGTGTTTAGGTTGGGTTTGCGTTAGTGGTTGAGTTTTGATTTGGTTCGTTTTCGTTCTTTCTTTTTTCGTTTTCGTTTGTGTTTTTTTTTCTTTGGGTTTGTGTTTGTATTTGTGTTTGTGGTTGGTTTTGCGTTTGGATTTGGTTTGTTTTCGTTTGCTTTTTCGTTTGTATTTTTTTCTTTGGGTTTGTGTTTGTGGTTGGTTTTGCGTTTGGATTTGGTTTGTTTTCGTTTGCTTTTTCGTTTGTTTTTTTCTTTGTGTTCGTATTGGTGTTTGTGGTTGTGGTTGAGTTTGTTGTTAGGTTTTTGTTTGTATTTGTAATTGTGTTAGCGTTATGATTGCGTTTTGTTGTTTTGGTTTTGGTTGGTTGTGGTTTGGGTGGGCAATGCCGGGTTTATGATGATTACTAAACACACAGGTAATGGTCTTTAACAGAAAGGTTTTTCACAGAAGCTAGAGCAGGGCCTGGCCGGGACGGCTAGTATATATATATATATATATATATATATATATATACTAGCTGCATCCCGTGCTCCGCCACGGTAAATCTTTTTTAAATGTACCAACAGAACAAAACTAAACACAATACAAACGAACGCAAAAAAAAAAAAAAAAAAAAACAACGAAAAAAAAAACACAACACTCATAACATAAACACAATTTAAATGCAATCATAAAGGCATATTGCTCACAGTCTAGCCCGTAGCGCCAAATCGCGCCCTTTCCGGTGATTTGCACCCCCCATCAAACTTTCGATTTGCACCCCTTTCCCCCCCCCCCCCCCAGCCCCCCCCGCCCTAAAACCTTCGATTTCCACCACCCCCCCCCCTCGCAAATTTTTTACAACCCACTTTGGCGCCCCCCAAGGTCGGCACCCGGGGACATATGCCCCCCCCTCGCTACGCCTCTCCTATAAAACCCGAAAGATAGAATAATAATTAGAAAACAGTATAAATAATAGGCAGTATCTATAATATATACAATATTTCACTTTATCGATTCACGCATTTTTTTCCAGTACTTTAAATTTTAAAAATTTACAATAGAGTTTCATAACTAAAACCATTGCGCACCTAATGAACGTGATGACGCGTCTATAATAGAGCTGAATAGTTGATTAAAAATTATAAGTAATAAACAGTAGGGCCTACATTCAGTGAATAAAATAAATAAAAATTGCCTTTCATCAATCCATGCTAATTATAATTTTCTAACAATAATTTCCTCTTACACATCCGAATAATTTGCATTCACATTTTGCTAATTATATTATTGCAACACTAATTCCTTCTATGACGAACGTATATTTGCATTCACATTTTTTATTAGCGTGAGTTTAATGTATTTTTAAATTACCTCCTTTGTCAAAATTAGAAAAGAGTTAAATTAATTTGATTTTTCTACCCTACTGTTATTATGTTATTAAAATGTATCCACTTTTTCTGGGAGCCTAAACGAAAATGATATTTGACATTAATCTTTTTAATACGTTTTAGCAGTTTGCGTGTATTTAATATTTTCTTGACGTTATGCGAAAGAGTAAAAACCGTGGCAATTATAAAATAGCTCTATGCCGCTATATAAACAAACCCTACTCTAATACTTATAATAAGACACTGCGGTGCACTGAAAAGCACAGCATGGTGCGAATGTTTACTTTTATGGTTCCAAAATCTATAGCGATGACGGAAGGAAGGAAGGAAGGAAGGACTGACACACTACCAGCAGCGTTATATTATATATATATATATATATATATATATATATATATATATATATATATATATATATATGCTAAAGCAATGTATGTTTGTCTGCGTGTCTGTCTGTTTGTCCCTTAAGCAATTCTACACCTTTCTACCGATCGCCATGAAACTTTAGGAGGTAGATACAAATTACTCCTAAGATTTTGGGGTTGCAATTTTCGTCAATACACTGTTTGACGCCCAGAGTTCCAGAGTGGCTATCTAAGTCTTGGTATCCGTTCAGCTTTTAAACTTCAACAGACGCAGCCGCCGGCGCCCCTGTAATTGCGTGTCTCGATGCGCACGGGCTCCCATGTAAGCACTACGGCGCCTACGTTCGTTTTAAAGAAAGTCAATATACTAAAGACAGGATGGGCACCAATTATCGTTGACTATATCGAATGAGACGCGTCCTGTGGCGCGATTTGGCTCCCCGGGCTTTCCCAAAGAGCGTGGTGTGTTTCGGCGTCCAGCGCTAACATGAGAGCACTACGGCGTCTACGTTAGTTTTACGGAGCACCCTAGAATATTGTCTGGACGGCAAACAACATCTGTTGATTAAACCGAGCCATGGGCCATACGCGGCGGCCCTGCTGTAATGTATTAAGGGGCTCATGAAAGCGCCCCTCTACGTCCCCGACACTTAGGCGGTAAGTGATTAACTTACACTTAAGGCTTTCACATAGCAGTAGTGTAGGTTAACCTGTGCCCCGATAAATATTACCCGAGCGCAGTCATTGTTTACATTTAAATAACTTAGTTTTAGAAAACAAGTTCACGTGTTTAAGAATACTCGATCGGTAAAGCATTGATGAAACTCTCCTAATGTATTTCGCCATTAAACTTTGGGAAGTCGTTGAGAAAACTCCTGGGTATATTTCTGCGAAACAAAAATGACATTTCGTACGGGTTCCGCCCCGGCAATTTGGCGAACAGGGCTCTCCTATTTACTTATATATATATATATATATATATATATATATATATATATATATATATATATATATATATATATAACTATATGTATTTGTGTGTGTATGTATGTATGTATGTATTCATACATGCGCTCTTACCTTTCCTCTGGCTGAGTAACAATCTGTGTTCTCCCTTTGAAAAGTTTGGTACCAAATTTTGTTATAACTTTTGGCAACATTCCTGCGCTGATAATTGTAAATATTGATTCGAATGAACTGTAGTCATTAAGGTCGTTAAAATACAGCACTGTCGCACCAATCATCAGTAAATAAGCAAATCCGATCACGGCCAGTAATACCTAAGAAAAACATAATATTTGCAGATTGTGTAAATTTCAATATTATTATTATTATTTTTGTTTGTTTGTCCGTTTGGTTACAGGATAGAATCTGCACTATATGTACAGCTGTAAAATAGTAATTAGGTAGAGAACAAATTTTGTTTTTAGACAGACTGTTAATCACAAATTTAATGAAAGACGTTAATTAATTCAGAACAATGACTTTACTTATTACAGTGAATAGTGACGTCACATGATTTATTTACTTATTATAACAAAAAGATTTTGTTGCACATTCAAAAGTTTAACGCATGTTAAATCTAATTTTCTGTTGGCTATAGCTTTAACGATACGTCCGTTTGCGATTTTTATTAGGTTAGAACAATATGTTCAATTTCTTATGGCTCATCTAACTTGAATATACAATTAATTTCTCTAGATCTAGATATCAGCTATCGGACGCAGAGAAAGTCAATCCTTGATCTAAAATCTAGAATCTAGGTCAAACCAAAATTAATTAGTTAAAGATAAAAACCATTTTAAAATCCCAATAAATCATTGAGTTTCTTTGTTAAACTATGTTAATCTTAAATATTTGATATAAATCTTTGCTTTTTATCTTCAATGATCATCTAATTCGAGAATACATGGGATTTCTTTTAGGTTCTAGAGTTACGGCCAAAACTAGATTTAACTTAAATTCTACATCTAGAACTAGAATTAACGTAAAATCTACATCTAGATCTAGAATCTATATACTAAACTGTTTCAGGTCTATAGCTATGGGATGGGTTAATTTGGGGTAAAGGCCCCTAATTTAAGTTAAAATAGTAGGGCCTATTCGCATAAATGGTTTCTTACTTTGCAGTACATTATACTACTGATTCTACATTAATTAGTCAGTGTTCATAGAGCTTAGATGATAGTGTAATGGCTACCATGCGGGTGGTACGGGTTCAAGACACATCAAGACAAAGTTAAATTTTCTTTTTCCATTTTTTTTAAAAAGTGAATGATAAAGTTGCCTATCGGGATCTAGCGGGACACAGGACAGCTGAAGTAGAGTTAATCTGTTTCTGTGTCCTCAGCATATAAAGGAATAGTGTGGTCAGAGCCATGCTTGCCCGAAAACATGTTGTCTGAGACTTGGCGGGATACTGGGTAGATGAAGTAGAGTTAGGTATGTGTAGAGTTTACCTGCGACTTTAGCATAGGAAGGGATAGTGTGGTGAGACTCATGCTGAGCCGAAATAGATGCTTTAAAATGACAAAAACGTCTGAGGTGTGACGTCTTTTTGAATGTGGGTCTGCGTTTTTGGTGACTATAAGTGACAGACGTGATGTCATTTATGGATGACCCCCGAAATCCACAGTCATCTAAAGATAACGGGTAGTCTAGTACACGATAAAATCAGCCAATTTATCATACACTATTACACTCTTTTTTTTTGTTCATTGTTGGGACTAACCTTCGAAACATTAAATCCTGAAAATTGTTTTTTCCCGCGATATTGTGAGCAGCATTTGTAAAAGAACCGCCTGGAAAAATTCATTTTTCCCTCCAAGTCATAAAATACTGCCGCTTGATTGTGTGTGAAAAGTGATCCGTTTCGTAAATCCCGGTCTAGGAAAAAAGAAAATATACGTGCGAGTATAAAAAAACTTAATATATATTTGTTGATGTGTGTTTGTTCAGGCATGTTGATGCAAACGAATATTATTGCGAAAGATATAATGAAAGATATAATGGATAGTGACGCGGTACGCAGGATTGTGACGTTTCAGTGTAGGTTCGTTTTTGCCGGGGAAGAAGGTTAGGTACTCTTATTCCTATTGTGAGGTCATAATGTAGTCAAGTCTTACTGATAGTGCCGTTGGTTCAAGTCGTCCTATGTATTCTTCATAGTGCAATAAACAGTAAAGTTAAATTATGCCGTCCTGTCGAATCAAATGTTGTCGTGCTTTAAGTCCAAACTATAGGATGGACTCTGGAATGATCAGAGATCAAGATTATAGTGTAAACTCTGTCACTGCATAACTATGGGAAACGTATAAATATATATATATATATATATATAATTGTATTTATAGGTACATAAATAATAGATATGTATTGATATCACGTAGCTGAAAAGGTATTTGTGTGTGTACGTATATGGATTGGAACAAGTATACGCAATTTGAAATGGTCTACTTAGAGTTCGGCTTGTAGAGCAAACGACTGCTAACCTGTAAGTCTCGAGTTCGAATTCCTGGTTCTTGTCAGTAGAACGTCCGGGCTTCTACCCAGATATGATGGGTACCTACCTAACTCAGGTTATGGAAAGTAAATGCGGCTGGCTATCGTGGTCAACACACTAGACCTTCTTATGCCGAATTGACTGAAACTGATGAACTCAACTTCACCTGCACAATGAACCGTCAGGTTCGACAAGGTACTTTATTTTTACTTTTTTTTTACTTGGAATTGATAAGGAGCAAATATCTACAAATAATAATGGAACTAATGAGATGCTGTACAGGATATTACTAACTAGCGTTTAGTGTTTGAAATGTATGTATCGGCAGCAGAGGCGTAGCGACCCTTCCCGGCGCCCGGGGACAAACTTTCGATTTGCACGCCCCCCCTCGAACTTTTCATTTGCACCCCCTCCCAGGGGCGGAACTACAGTGCCGCCAGACCCCGCAATGCGGGGGGGGGGGGGCCCAGACCGATTGGGGGCCCAAAAATCCTGGCTAAATTATTTTAAAAAAAAAAAAAAAAAAAAAAAATTAGGTGGAGGTCGAGTTATCTTTCTTCTACAGTTACAAACAAACACGATAGTCGGCAAACGTCTTTGAGAAAAATGCACAGACTATAGCTCGAGAGACCGCCAGACATAAAGTCAACTTCAAAGACGCAGCCTACCGTTCTTTTTAGTGGCGTCGATTAGGAGAACAAAAAAGCATTGTTATATTGTTTACATTATTAAAATACATATATATGATTGTGTGTTTAAACTACTGGCCTGAATTCTACAAAAAATATAATTATTTATTTCGATCTCATACATTTATAATTGCGTTCATTTTTACTTTAACAACTGTATCAATAAACTTGTAAAAGTTTAAGTTATCTCCCTTCAGCGAAGCATCTGAAATTTGACTGTGCCGGCACGCTTTGAAATCGGGCTGGGGAAATGTTGCGGCGACTATCCTGGTCTTCTAAACAACCGGAAAAAGTCGGCACTATTGATGTAGATGTTTATCGGCGCTTTCTTGTCCCCTTCCAATGAACCTTCCCAACTCTCTCCCCTCCCCCCTCTCACCCCTACCCCTCACCTCTACCCCTCACCACACCCTTAATCTTACAATAAGATGTAATGCATAGATTAACGAACCGTCTATGAACTACTGAACTGTAAACTGACCACTCCTGCACATTTTGTTAAAGACACTAGTCAGTAGTTGTTCATTTACCTCAGGGGTCTCCAAACTACGGCCCGCGGGCCGAATGCGGCCCGCGAAGTCCTCTCATCCGGCCCGCGGAGATCTTTTTGTCGAAGGAAAAATTGTTTGTTGGTGATGGCTGTGGTGCTTTGCCCCGAAAAATCAAATACATGCCTAGAAGAAACTGGCCCCCGAACTGAAATTTGATAGTTAATGCGGCCCTCGGATTGAAAAGTTTGGAGACCCCTGAATTTTACCTGATGAACAGGGGCGGAACTACAGTCCCGCCAGACCCCGCAATGCGCGGGGGGGGGGGGGGGGCAGGCCGTTTAGGGGCCCACGGCTGACCAAAATTAATTTTTTAAAATTTTGAATTTAATTTTCGTGCATTTTTGCCTTAATATTTGGTTTGTAAAAGAAAAACACTAGCTGCGGTACGATTATCTTTATTTTACAGTCACTATAATTGTCGACAATTTTTTTACATATTTTAAACAGTTATTTATAGTTGTATTTTTTAACCATCGTCAAGGCCGAGTTCTATTTCCCTACAATCAAACACACGCTGTCGTCGTCAAAATTCTTTTTAAAAAACAACAAAGTCCATAGCACGAAAAGCCGCTACATATGAAGTGGGCTTTCTGCTTTGCGGCATTGGTAAGGGACCCGAAATCCATTGTACATTTTTCAATGTTAATATGTGTTTGTGATAGTGGTTGAACTTGTATCCTGTACTATCTTGCATCTTACAAATAATAAAAAAATAATATAATACTATACTAGAAACTTCAGTTTTATATACTGTTACTTGTTTTTGCTTTTACAAGAAATATCATAGTAAACTTTTAAAGCCTATACTACTATACTTGGAATAATCTCCCCTGAGTACGTTTTACAATGGGCGATGGTGACGTACATAGATCAAGGCGTTTTGTTGTCGCTTTCAAGTTTTTTTCCAGAGCCGACCCCTATCCCACCCCTCTTTCTCAACCTCACAAGTATCGAGGATATAAATGTATCGTTTATGAACTACTTCCTAACCGTACGATTCACCACTTCAGCACATTTTGTCAGACACTAGACAGCACTAGATCTAGATCTAGTCAACAGATATTAATTTACTTTCATAGTATTAGGCACATCTAATTCACAAAACAGGGCAGGTAAGATTATTTTTTATATAATTATTTAGAAATTAATTACGTTTAGAATTAATTGAACATTATTAATTTTTTTTAATAGTCAATTACTATTTATAAATGACGTCATTGAGGTGGGGGTGTGTGAGGGTCTGGCTTTTTGTTAGTCCCCCCCCCCCCCCTAAATCAGAAGGTTATCCAACGCGTGACCTGGCCACATACAGTTGTACATGTGAAAAACATTTTTCTGTCTATTTTGCATTACTGCATCATTCACCCAATCGCCATGAAAACTTGGGAAGCTGTTTAGTACAGCCCCGCAAAGGTTTCTGTCATAGGCCTAACATTTGTACATATTGGAGTGGGGACTCCTAACGGAAATATGTGATTTAGCGCCCCGTTATCCTGCATAAGCGGATGAGGTTACTACTTAAATACAACCGGCGGCAGTGTCATCCTGAGCGCATCACATATGAGCAAGTTGGCCCCCCACAGACAGTCGTTTAAAAGTTCCCACAACACTAGGAATAAGTCTCGCTACAACACTCGATGACTAAATCTAATTAGGTGTCGCACCAATGTTTCTTCCTGGGTAGACTGTTTTCGGAGGAGGGGAGGGGGTGGGGGAGCTCTGCCGGAAGAAACAATGTGTTGCACCCATCACCCGTGCAGTAATGTAAGCGGTAGCTCCAAGAGCCCCGTGACTCCCCTGACACCTGGGTCGTCGCCGAGGGACTTACAGCCTGCCTTGGCGTGTCTAGTTGGTAGTGTGGACAAACCCGCGCCCTAAGATCCAAGAAATGAACTGCCGACATTGTTAACATTTAATTCAACTTCTGGAAAACAGGGCACACGGTTGGTAACGTTTTGATGAAAGCCTCATAAAAAATCGGCGTCAGTTTGGTGTGTTGGACTAGATTAAGAGAGTCAGTGCTTCTCACTTGGAAAACTGAAAGGGGCCAGCTCGTGTGTTGGAAAACCTCTGATTTATTCGGATACCGGATACATTTTTTTTAAAATTTAGAGCGACCTTTGTATTACATATATATATATATATATATATATATATATATATATATATATATATATATATATATATATATATATATATATAAATATATATATATATATATATATATATAAATATATATATATATATATATATATATATATATATATATATATATATATATATATATATATATATATATATATATATATATATAGGGGCCCAAAAAAAAATTCTGCGGGGGGGGCCTTTTTTTTCTAGTTCCGCCACTGCCCCCCCCCTCAAACTTTCGATTTGCACCCCCCCCCCCCTCGAACTTTTCATTCGCACCCCCCCCCCCTCAAATTTTCAATTTGGCGCCCCCCCCCCCCCCAAGGTCGGCGCCCAGGGACATATGTCAGATAATTGACACTTCACTGTTCTAGGAGTCTGAGTGGTCGCCTCGGTAAATCGCATGGTTGCTAAACTGCAATGTCCCGTTTCGAAAGCCCGGGGAGATAAGGCTCGATATCTGAAGACAGCAATCCATCTTGGAGAAAAAACTCCAAAATCAAACAACTGATACTAACACGGCAATACTGGGCGTATGACCTTCCAGTAAAGGTCACCGTCCAGAGCGCAAGGGTCCTCGATGAACGTCAACGTCTACGTGTTTGTGAACAATGCGAAGCGTCTGGCTGAGGTAATACATGGAATGGGGTGGTCGACACAATGCGACACTTAGCCCTAGACACACCAATATGATGTGCCCTAACGTATCCCAAAGAGTTAAGGGATTATTATTTAGATTATTTATTAAAAACAGTTGAGACGGCCATTTAAGGGAAGCTACTAAAAAGGTACTGTCGAATTCACATAGTATGAATTACTGAAAATTACAAAATAAAACTAAATAGCGGCGTGTGATATTTGCTCTCCAGGCAAATCGCTACCACCCCGCCCCCACTAAACTGGTGAGCTTTTGTTCACGACGAATGTTTACAATCTTAGAACCGGGTTAGTGACGGCTATTAGGGGCAGATAATTTAGTATTAATCTATTCGAAATGAAAGGGAGGTAACAATTGCTGATTGATTTTTTTCATTGTCTGAAAACGGCTGCTTTCGCCAGAGGCGTAGCGACCCTTCCCGGCGCCCGGGGCGAACTTTCAATTTGGCGCCCCCCCCCCCCCGCTTATATATATATGTATATATATATATATATATATATATATATATATATATATATATATATATATATATATATATATATATATATATATATATATATGTGTGTGTGTGTGTGTGTGTGTGTGTGTGTGTAATTATGTGTGTGTGATAGTGTGTTTATATATAAGCTTGTGTGTGGGTAAGAGTGTATTTGTGTGTGTAAGCGTGTGTGTAAGCGTGTATGCTACAGTCCGGACAAGGTTTAATAATTACATTGTATGATTTTCATTCCTTAAAACTTTACGACAATTTAATTCCCATTAAGATGCGTTTAACTTTTTTTGCGAAAGATTAGTAATGTCAGTAAAAAAAAAATAAGCCTGATCTGTGTTAGAGGGTAGTTTGTAGCTAACGCTAATATGTTTAGACCAGCCTTTTATGTTCTAGTTTTGAACGATCTCTGTTGTGATATGGTACATATTGGATTCGAAGTTTGTTAGAGTAAGGACACACAAGTGACATACAAGAAGAAGTTATCAGAAATATTTATTGTTCACATTGGAATACGACATGGGTATTTCGTTGATTGGTTGATGGTATGACAAAACAAGCTAGAGAAAACAAACTGGAATCGAACGGATGTTAACAGCTCGTAGTCTTGGATTTCGCAGATTTGCCCTGCCTTCTCGCACACAGTTTCTTCCAGGCATCTTTTCGGGGGGGGGCGAAGCCCCCAGGAAAAATTTTTACGCCCCCCCGAACGAAATGAAATTTATATAATTTATATATAGAAAATATATACTTTTAACAGTGTCCGCCCCCCCCCCCCCCGAAGAAAGTTTACCGCCTCCCCCCTCCCCCCGAAGATTTCAAGTGCCCCCCCGGAGAAAAAAGTCTGGAAGAAACACTGATCAAAAGTATCTGATCTCTCACGTTGAAGTTGAGAGAATCGTAAGAATCTTACAAAGAACTAGACGCGTCTTTTTTTTTAACAAAACTGGCTATTGAAATTGTACATTACGCGTTAATACACTTGGTTTCTTTACTAAGTGTTAAGAGAGTTATCTACTCACCAATCCAGTACAAATACTTGCGATTTTTGTTAGCGAAAAAAGCGCCCCCCCCCCCCCCCCCAATCTAGGAAAAGCTTCAAAGCGGTTTTGCCGGTCACTGTTTCTTAAGAGTATATGTTTTACATTAAGAAATCAAGATAGAAAACAGTTAAATCAGTATGTAAATGCGTGTAGCCATTATATTTCTTAACTTAGACAGTTTATAATTCAAAACTGCAGCATAAAATCAGCTTTAAAAAATTTTTCCCACCCCTTTTGGCGCCCCCATAGGGTCGGCGCCCGGGGCGGCCGCCCCCCCCCCCCGCCCCCCCCCTAGCTACGCCTCTGGCTTTCGCTTGGCGGAGGGGAGGGGGGAGGAGGGAGGACAGGAGGAGGTAGTGTTGAATTCACAAATTATGAATTGCTGATAAGCAGAAAATAAAACAACTAGATAGCAGCGTATGCTACGTCGCGGGTCAGCTAGTACAAGTATAATTGTGTACCCTTGTTTACCTATAGCATATAAACATATATTTGCCAATATACATGAATATAAGTATTTATAAGTCTATGCTTAAATGTGTATATGCAGCTGCATTTTTATAGGTGAATGGTATAGCGGATGTGTATTTTTAATGTAGAAGTCGATATGTATGAAGACGGATTTGCAGAAGTAGATTAAATAAAACGTTCGTACATGCACGCATGATTTTTATGCATGTAGATGTACATTTCTATTTATATTGAATAAAAAATAGTTGTGTAGGCTATAGAGCGCAAATTTACCTTCAAAATGTAGTTTTATTATATCTTCCCATGTGTTGCTCTCTGATCTGTGTCTATGTATGATGTCCGTCAAAACGTATTCAAATCTCTCTAAACACATTCCAAGTGATGTTTTGAGGTCGGATATAAAATCGTACAAGTATACTAAAATGACGAAAGCTATTGACAAATAAATATCTATCGTTTTAAATTCAAAAATGAAAAAAGCAGTAGCTGCCAAAACAATTTTAACATAAAGAATTATGCTAAGACAGTAGTAAATAAAAAAAATATAGACCAGGTACAGGCAGAAGCAAATATTGCAGCATGTTTTTTTCTTGCCGCAGCATAAGTATTGTTTAGAAACTAAACAACGTGCAATGATAATGTGAATTAAAAACAGTGTAATATGTACACTTAAAAATGCAAACTTATCATATAAATGCTGCTCATAAAGTTTCTTAAATAAAAAAACAAAGGGGGTAAACCAAATAATTATTGCAGGAAATAATGAAAATGCCGATGGAAAGCTCGTTTTCTTTACACTATTGGACTTGCAGCAGCTAAGCTTGTCTTTCATCTAGACGAAAATAATATAAATTAATTTATTTTAATATGCGTCGAATATGTTACATAATAAATTTTAGTCTAGATAAGTATGTAGCCTATAGGGGTTGTCTCTGGGTATTATATAATATATATATATATATATATATATATATATATATATATATATATATATATATATATATATAATATTCGCATACGAATTTATTTACGACGACGGAATATTTTGTGATTTACTTAATTTTTAGAAAATAAGTCCTAAATTTTTATTTTAAACTCTAGATGCTAAACACTAACAACTGTATTCAAAACTCAAAGTAATGTTTTTAATGTTACCATCTGAGAAATATAGAGAAAAGGAAGCGATTGCGTAGTCTCTCGGTGCATTAAGTCTGATGCATAAACCATGTAAGTTGAAACATCATTACCGGTGCTGGTGTTCCGCACAGGCTTCTTTCTATAATTTAAAAAAAAAACGTTATTTAAATGACTCTAAATAGGGGAAGGGTGTAATATATGGCCATTGATATACCCTAGATACTATTTACCTTTTGTTTTTAAATGAGTTAAGTAGCGAAAATTAAACAGTATTTATATGTAAGATATTTGAGGGTATAGTAAGGTATTAAAGGTTCATTGATTATAATCTAACCCACCACAATCATATACATGTATATATTTTGCGATCGATAAAAATATATATATAAATACTTATATTTTACATTATATACATTTTAAAGCCTAAATACCTCTCTATATTAACGAATATATATATATATATATATATATATATATATATTTTATATATATATATATATTTTATATATATATATATATATATATATATATATATATATATATATATACAAAGTGTGTGTCTGATTGTGTTTTAACCATTATTACACCGTGTATACGACGCCTAAAAACTTTGGGAAGTTATACTTACATGCCTTTAAACATAACAATTAAGCCTATGTTTACGTTGTAAATGGAAATATCATTTACATTTCCAATCAAACTGATATTTAAACTTCTAATTTAGATTTTCTTGTATCTCCTACTTACTCTTCCCATGTTGTTTGTCGTGCTTCAACCCTTACAAAATATTGAGTTCTGTATAAAGAAATACAAAATATATTCACAATAGTAAGTATATTTCTTTTAATTATAAATTTGGAAAACGAATTTCAAAACAGTAACACTTATCAGATACTTACACATTTTTAAAAGAGATAAAATATAAATATAGAGTGTAAATCCCAATTATAATGGCAGCAAAAAAAGGTGTTTTATCATAAATCCAGTGCAGGTACCATTTTGAAGTAAGATCGACGCAAGTTATTTCGTTCTCACTGTTGAATCCGCAACATCTGTTGGAATTATTACATTATAGACACACACACATATATCTATATCTATATCTATATCTATATCTATATCTATATCTATATCTATATCTATATCTATATCTATATCTATATCTATATCTATATCTATGTCTATGTCTATGTCTATGTCTATGTCTATGTCTATGTCTATGTCTATGTCTATGTCTATGTCTATGTCTATGTCTATGTCTATGTCTATGTCTATGTCTATGTCTATGTCTATGTCTATGTCTATGTCTATGTCTATGTCTATGTCTATGTCTATGTCTATGTCTATGTCTATGTCTATGTCTATGTCTATGTCTATGTCTATGTCTATGTCTATGTCTATGTCTATGTCTATGTCTATGTCTATGTCTATGTCTATGTCTATGTCTATGTCTATGTCTATGTCTATGTCTATGTCTATGTCTATGTCTATGTCTATGTCTATGTCTATGTCTATGTCTATGTCTATGTCTATGTCTATGTCTATGTCTATGTCTATGTCTATGTCTATGTCTATGTCTATGTCTATGTCTATGTCTATGTCTATGTCTATGTCTATGTCTATGTCTATGTCTATGTCTATGTCTATGTCTATGTCTATGTCTATGTCTATGTCTATGTCTATGTCTATGTCTATGTCTATGTCTATGTCTATGTCTATGTCTATGTCTATGTCTATGTCTATGTCTATGTCTATGTCTATGTCTATGTCTATGTCTATGTCTATGTCTATGTCTATGTCTATGTCTATGTCTATGTCTATGTCTATGTCTATGTCTATGTCTATGTCTATGTCTATGTCTATGTCTATGTCTATGTCTATGTCTGTGTCTGTGTCTGTGTCTGTGTCTGTGTCTGTGTCTGTGTCTGTGTCTGTGTCTGTGTCTGTGTCTGTGTCTGTGTCTGTGTCTGTGTCTGTGTCTGTGTCTGTGTCTGTGTCTGTCTCTGTGTCTGTGTCTATGTCTATGTCTATTTCTATACCTATACCTATACCTATACCTATACCTATACCTATACCTATACCTATACCTATACCTATACCTATACCTATACCTATACCTATACCTATACCTATACCTATACCTATACCTATACCTCTACCTCTACCTCTACCTCTACGTCTACGTCTACGTCTACGTCTACATCTACCTCTAACACTACCTCTAACACTACCTCTAACACTACCTCTAACACTACAACACTACCTCTAACACTACCTCTACATCTACATCTACATCTACATCTACATCTACATCTACATCTACATCTACATCTACATCTACATCTACATCTACATCTACATCTACATCTACATCTACATCTACATCTACATCTACATCTACATCTACATCTACATCTACATCTACATCTACATCTACATCTACATCTACATCTACATCTACATCTACATCTACATCTACATCTACATCTACATCTACATCTACATCTACATCTACATCTACATCTACATCTACATCTACATCTACATCTACATCTACATCTACATCTACATCTACATCTACATCTACATCTACATCTACATCTACATCTACATCTACATCTACATCTACATCTACATCTACATCTACATCTACATCTACATCTACATCTACATCTACATCTACATCTACATCTACATCTACATCTACATCTACATCAACATCAACATCTACGTATATATCTATATCTATATCTATGTTATATCTATATCTATATCTATATCTTCATATATCTATATCTATATATCTATATGTCTATACTCATGTATCTACATATCTATCTGTCCGTCCGTCCGTCCGTCCGTCCGTCCAGCCAGCCAGCCAGCCAGCCAGCCAGCCAGCCAGCCAGCCAGCCAGCCAGCCAGCCATCCGTCCATCCGTCCATCCGTCCATCCGTCCATCCGTCCATCCGTCCATCCGTCCATCCGTCCATCCGTCCATCCGTCCATCCGTCCATCCGTCCATCCGTCCATCCGTCCATCCGTCCATCCGTCCATCCGTCCATCCGTCCATCCGTCCATCCGTCCATCCGTCCATCCGTCCATCCGTCCATCCGTCCACCCGTCCACCCGTCCACCCGTCCACCCGTCCACCCGTCCACCCGTCCATCCGTCCATCCGTCCATCCGTCCATCCGTCCATCCGTCCATCCGTCCATCCGTCCATCCGTCCATCCGTCCATCCGTCCATCCGTCCATCCGTCCATCCGTCCATCCGTCCATCCGTCCATCCGTCCATCCGTCCATCCGTCCATCCGTCCATCCGTCCATCCGTCTATCCGTCTATCCCTCTATCCGTCTATCCGTCTGTCTGTCTGTCTGTCTGTCTGTCTGTCTGTCTGTCTGTCTGTCTGTCTGTCTGTCTGTCCGTCTGTCTGTCCGTCCGTCCGTCCGTCCGTCCGTCCGTCCGTCCGTCCGTCCGTCCGTCCGTCCGTCCGTCCGTCCGTCCGTCCGTCCGTCCGTCCGTCCGTCCGTCCGTCCGTCCGTCCGTCCGTCCGTCCGTCCGTCCGTCCGTCTGTCTAATCTATCTATCTATCTATCTATCTATCTATCTATCTATCTATCTATCTATCTATCTATCTATCTATCTATCTATCTATCTATCTATCTATCTATCTATCTATCTATCTATCTATCTATCTATCTATCTATCTATCTATCTATCTATCTATCTATCTATCTATCTATCTATCTATCTATCTATCTATCTATCTATCTA